GCCTCGCTGCAGTGTTTGATGGACGAGCCCAGTAAGGCCGTAGATGTGAAAGAAGGGGAGGACGCCTAGGAACTTGTCTTCTGCTGATGAGTACCAGTGGCCTACACCCCCTTTTAGAATAAGGAGATCTGCGATGATGTTTCGATGGCTGAGCATCACGCCCTTTGGCAGCCCAGTTGTACCAGAGCTGTAGGCAAGGAACGACAGGTCTTCGGGGTTGGCTTTCCTTCTGCGATACCGTTCTAAGATGGATGCCTTCCGAATACTGGACCAGTGCTTGTGCTTGAAAGAATCATCTCTTTCAGGTCCCAACAAAATGACTCGATCGTTTGGGATGCCGACTTTGTTTGCAGCCTCCAACGCTGTTGTCAAAAACGCTTTTGTGGTCACGAGTGCCTTGGCGCCAGAGTTCTCCAGCTGGTAGGCCAATTCATCTTTGGAATACCCTGGATTTGCAGGCGTAACAATTCCACCTGCATAAAAGGTGCCGTATATAACTGGCGGGACATCGACATCGTTTGGCACATACAGTGCCAAAACGTCATCTTTCTGCCAACCCCAGAGATCCAGGAGTCCCTCGCCGAATACTTTCGCCAGGTCTTTTACTTGGGCAAATGTATATTTTCGATCAGAGTTGATTGCACGGTAAATGACTTTGTCATCTGAGAAGTCCCTGTCTTTCCGCTCAAACATGAATCCCCATAGGTCGACATCTGGGATTTTCACATCTGGAAATGGCGAATTGGAAGGCATGTTTTGTGTTGGTGTTGGACGGAGAGAGCAAACAGGCGTCAACTCACGCGCAGCGATGTTGGACTGGAAATTGTATGTTTGTTTTCAATTGGCGTCGTTGTGTAACAAGATAATGATAGGGTTCAAGGCGGAATGGGACCTCGGCTTTCAGCAACATGACGTTAGCACTTCCGACTCTGGCGCCATTGCAGCGTTTAGTCAGCCTCGAGTTTTGGAAAAGACACCCAGTTTTGTAAACAATTGCCTTAGTTTGAGTAATCTGACGGCTCCTCCTAACTGCATTAACAGGATACAATGGTGCTACGAATGTCGAGTGTCCTTTGCAATGGTTACTCAGCAAACGAACTGTATCCCCATTTGAGCGAATCCCAGTCCCCACTGAACTCTAAGTGCCACCTTTGGAAATGTGTCTGTGTCAGTTTGTTGAGTGTTTGGAAGGCAGATTATTCAAATCTCGCTATCTTTATTTTTATTTTTAGGTTTTTGGTAAGTCATCAACGGAAAGTTTCATGCCACAGTCAATGCATTCTCACCTGTAATGGATTGAGAATAACAGTAATGGGGAAGCTCCAGGAGCTTGGATCTCGCAGTTCCACCTGGGTGTAAATATGAGATAAATGTGCGCAAGCTGCTTGAGCCAGGCTAATGTCTTGTGTGTTCTACCATGCGCACGTGACCAGGCGTCGGATCCCGGAACATCTAGGTACGTGAACCATCGGGAGAGCCGGAAGGCAGCCACGAAATGATATGCGTGGTCAGCTAACGTGTCCACAAAGACCGAGGCTAACGGAAGGCAATCGAAATAATGTCCTGGTCATACAAAGCACGGGTGTGACGGGGCTTCGTCTTGGTGCACAGCGTAGCCTCGGCGCCATGGGCCAATTGATGATGGCAATGTGACGATGTGATGGTTCAGCGTTGTGTTCTGGGGCTCGGGCAGCCGCAAGTCAATGGCTGCTGGCTGGTTGAGCAGGTGTGGGCTGGGCGACAGCATTGTGTACATAGGCCTACGTACTCGATCCATGAGGTGTGGGTGGAAACCAATGCTAAAAGGAATGCCGCAGACTAAGGACCGTTCCCGCATGCGCACGGTCTACCGTAATGGTGGGGGAAAGGCGCGAGCGAGCAGTCAACCGTCCGACCGAACGACCCACCCTCTATCTCTCCCAGTTCATCCATCAAGGTGCCTCCAGCGCCGCTTCATCTCGGCCGCATTCGCATCTGGCTCCCAGATCTGCCGGAACAATTGGTCGTCGGGTCGCGGCAGCAGGTCGACTCGCTCCGGTGCAAGTGGGTGCGTCCTCAAGGCTCGACACAGTTCACGTCGGCAGCCGCTGACCAACCGCACTCTTGGGACTCTGCTCTGCTCTCGGATCGAGCGTGGGCGGCGTGATTGGCTAGGCGGGGCTGTGCCGTGGGGAGGGCTGCACTGTCGAGGACCCATACGGGCGTCATCGCTGAGGCGTGGGCGGAAGAAGGGCAATTTCTCTGCAGCGTGATATCTGCACCACTGCCACGACTGGGTCCTACAGGCCGTCTCAGCTGGCAGGGAGCCCGGCCTTAAGCAAGTGTCACCGGCAGCTGCTTCTCATACCACACAGGATGGGTAAGTGCCCCTCGACTTCGCCCAGATCCCCCTCCTAACGTCGCCATCTCCATCCGTCATCCGCCCTCCGCGCCAGCGCCATCACGGTTCTGCCTCTCCTCATAACCAGCCCTGCCTTCCTGCTGACTTTTCTGCCTGCTAGATTCCGCAGGAGACACCTATCGTCCCAGTGACCGAGTGAGTACAGCCACCTCTTCTCTTTTGCCCGTCGCCAATCGTCGCCCGCCGACCATGTGGCCAGGCGGCAAGTGAACCGCACTGCACTGCACTGCACCGCACCGCACCGCACCGCACCGCACCGCACCGCTCCTGGCCTGCCCTTGTCTGACCTGCTAGCCGCCATCACGTCGAGGCCGGCCGTGACAGACGAGCTGCTTGTCCATTTCCCCTTTCCCTCTCACTCCTCACTTCACCTCTATGGTGCGTGGTGTCCGCTGGTGTTGACCAGAGCACGTGATTGGCCGGCAACTGCCGTCGCGCGTTTCGTTCGTCGTTGCCCAAGCTCCGAGCTGCTCACGCACGCTCGCCCGCTCGCGCAACCTCTCCTTCCAACCCCATCAACCCTGCGAGCCTGCACCAGCTCGCATCACCCGCCCGCAACCCGCTCAAACCTCTCCGCTTCGACGCATTGATCGACGCACCGTCGCAATCATGTCGTACGAAACTGACAATTATGACCAGCGCGACCGCTCCCCTCGTCGCCGTTCTCGCTCCCCGCGACGCTCCCGACGCTCCTACTCACCTCGCAGCCGCTCTCGCAGCCGAGACGACTACCGTCGCACTGAACGCCGCTCGCGCTCCCCCAACAGTGGTGCTCAAGGTGCGGGAAGCTACCAGTCGTACGGTGCCAGCAGAGGCGGCTCATCGCGACCCACTGAGAACAAGGGCGAGATGATGCAGAACATTAGGGACTCTTCGCAACAAGACCGTCGCGTCTACGTCGGCAATCTCTCGTATGATGTCAAGTGGCATCACCTAAAGGACTTCATGCGCCAAGGTACGGATGGCATGTGTTGCGTTGTCGCGTCAAGAGATGGGCTAATGTGGAAATAGCTGGAGAGGTCCTCTTTGCAGATGTCTTGCTACTACCGAACGGAATGTCAAAGGTAATGGATGATGGCTTGTCTTGATCGTGAGAAGGATGGAGGTTGACTGGCTTTTGCTTTGGGTGTAGGGCTGTGGCATCGTGGAATATGCAACTCGGGAGCAGGCGCAGAACGCTGTTGCAACGCTCAGCAACCAGAACCTCATGGGACGCCTCGTATACGTTCGCGAAGACCGAGAGGCCGAGCCTCGATTCAGTGCCCCCGGCGGTCGTGGTGACTTTGGCGGCGGAATGGGTCGCGGCGGCGGCTACGGTGGCTTCGGTGGTAATAACGCTGCTGCTGGAGGTCCAACCGGAGCACGACAGGTCTATGTCTCCAACGTTTGTACACCCATTTCATTGTCCCCATTGTTATTTACATTAGTGGTCTTTGCTAACCTTGTTGCCTAGCTTCCCTACAACGTTGGCTGGCAGGACCTGAAAGACCTCTTCCGCCAGGCTGCCAACAATGGTCAAGTCCTTCGCGCTGACGTTCACATTGCACCTGATGGTCGCCCAAAGGGTTCCGGTGTGGTTGCATTCGAGACACCCGAGGATGCCCGGAATGCCATTACCCAGTTCAACGGCTATGACTGGCAGGGCCGAAACCTCGAGGTTCGCGAGGACCGCTTTGCCGGCGCTCCTGGTGGATTCGGTGGTCGCGGAGGCTTCGGAGGCCGCGGAGGCTTTGGCGGCGGCTTCCAGGGCCGTGGTGGCTTTGGAGGTCGTGGTGGTTACGGAGGCTTCGGAGGTCGCGGTGGCTTCAATGGCGGATACGGTGGTGGTGCCGGTGGCCCTGGTTTCGACCCCAACGCTGCTCCTCCTGCCCCGAACCCATTCACAGACTTTGCCACTGCAGGCGGAGAACCCAGCAACATCATCTACGTTCGCAACCTACCATGGTCGACTAGTAACGAGGATCTTGTCGAGCTCTTCACCACGATTGGAAAGGTCGAGCGTGCCGAGATTCAATACGAGCCCAACGGTCGCTCTCGCGGAACCGGTGTAGTTGAGTTCGAGAAGGCTGCTGACGCAGAGACGTCTATCGGTATGTTCTTCAAAGTTGTTGTATATCAACTTACTAACACATCTATAGCTAAATTCACTGGTTACCAGTATGGTGGCAGGCCTCTCGGCCTTGCCTACGTCAAATACACCAACGTAGGCAACGGCGATGTTATGGAAGGTACCGAACACACTGGCGGCTTGACCCAAGACCAGATTATGTAATGCGTTCTTTCATTCGCCATGCATCTGGGATACCTAGCATCTACATGATGATGCACGCACATTTTTTATTTGCTGTGGTAGCAAGCGCCTTATCAGGGATGATTTTTTTTCCTTTATCTCACATTTGCATCTCTCCACAGAATGGGATCTGGAGAGAATATCTTGCGAGTCAGTTCTGGTATCGGGGAAACACTGTAGGAGAACAAAATTTCCTTGTCTACACTAAAAGCTAGCTGTTGAGATGTAGCTATAGCATCGAATGGGAATTTCGTAAGGCTTATGCACATGCCTTTGCTTCACTCTTCTGTTTTGGCGTGCAAATCTTGACTATTGCAACAACTTCATCATCCACTCATACGCGGCCCATTGTACAGCATTGACAATGAAAGCGCGTACACTGCATATGCCCAGGCCACGGACGAAGACGCCTGCGCCCTCTGTCCGGTATGCTTGCCTGGCAATTTCAATTGAGCTCATTCGCTTCTTCTGGGTTTCCGGTTGCAGGAGCCCACTTCGTTCTCCATCTGTTGCCGGTGGATGTAGTACCTGGGTCTGTACTCTCGTCTTGATCATATCCAAGGGAAAAATGGACGTCCAGCTAACGACACCCGCCAACCCACCACACATGAGTACCTTCATCGCCGTTTCCTGATCCGAATCATCCGGCGAACTCCAGGCCTGTTTGGACATTTCATACGACCAGAAGCTAGAAATTGTAGTTAGTACACACCCATACTTATATTTCCTTTCGTTCCTCTTCCAACGTGCCAAAAGAATTGCACGTATTTAGGTTTACAAAAAAAAAGAAGAGGAAACTTACTAAAGCCCATAACCCACCGCATCCCTCACACTCGTAATCGCACCTCCATAATACAACCCCCGTACCCCCTCAGCCCTCCACACATCCCTCGCCACACTCCACGACGTCGTTGTCTGGCTCGTAGAAACCTGGGCTCTGCACTTGATCAGCTCGGTAGGGGCGCTGACGACGAAGGATGCGAGACCGCCTGTTACGCCTGCGAGAAAGACGTTGGAGAGGCTTTGCGGGGAGGCTGGGGTGTCGTGTAGGAGGGTTAAGGTGCGGTTGTAGGTTACGAATAAGAGACCGTTGAGGGCGCCGTAGGTGAGGATAGGGGCTGTGGCGCCTATACTGGAGTGGTTGTGCTTGTTAGTTTGTTCCCCTTTTTTGGTTCGAGCAAGGAAGGGATTAATAGAGTTTTGAAAAAAAAAAAGAAAAATAGGATCAAGGGTTTCTCTCCTCACTTTCCCTTACTCCACTTTTTTGTTTCAAAGCAATAAAGAATTCATGATATGGGAGAATAGTAAATATTGAAGTTATTGGTCTCACCTCTAACTAGTGTTCCGGCATTTTCGAATTGCGCTTTGAAACCTTGCAGGGTTTGGAGTTGTGGTTGTACCGCTGCTGCTGCTGTTATTGTTGTCGTCGGTGTAGCTTCTACTACATGTGGTGCTGGTGCATTTCCTGCCTGCAGACGCGTCTTTATGAGGTCCAGTGGGTTACCGATGATGATGCCTGCTGCACCGGAAATGTAGCCGGCCCAGAAGTCTGCGGACATGATTCTCTTGTTTTTTTGTGTGTTCCTATTGGTGTGTGGGAGGGAAGGGGGAGGCGAAAATTATGTAGGAATGGTTGGGGCACGTCTAGTACTAGAGGAGGGGGTAATGCAGGGTCTTTGGAGGTTGGGGGAGTGGGGTGGGGAGGGGCAGGGATTTCGAAGATCTACTAGTAGGACAGCCGAGGCTCAGATGGATGTGAAGGTGGAAATACGATGTTCGACTCTTGGAAATGGAGAATGCATGGTTAGTGCGTGGGTCCTGCGTTTGCATTATTGACTATCAAATTGAGTCTGTGGTTATGCTATTGCCAAGGTTAAGACGAGTGATGGTCTGCAGGGTTTAGGGTCATATTGTCTTCCTGAACATGAAATCCTATCGCTTTGCCTGTGCATATTTTTGTGAGAATGAGAAATTGTTTGGGCCATGTTCATTTATTTTGCTTGCTGTGAACATCTGTCATCACGAGATGATCCATGAAATTGTTAAGATTACGTCAGATATTATCTCCAATGATTGTTTGAGTTTGCCATGCATTTGCACAAGTTATAACACAAGTCGTGAAACTTACCTCGTCTCGATATAGAAACTCTTGCTTGAATTTGACCGGGAGAAAACTATCTTCCTGTCCATAAGACTGGTACCAAGACGGCCCTATCATGTTGATGCGCACCCTGGCAACCAGGACTTGTCTACGAGGTTTGATGCGTCTTCTGTTTCTTGTACAGTGGTTGGGGTTGAACTTAAGTCGGTCAGTGTTGATCGAGTTGTCGGTGCTAGAGCAACGCCAGCACATGATTACTGGTTAATTTCGGCTGCGCTTTCTAGAAAGGCCAAATGATGATAGGCCAGATGATGGGCACGTCAGACCGCTCTTGGGCTTTCCGTACCTACGTAGCTCACAGAGCCGTCCCTATGTTTCGAATAATCACAGTAAATGGTCCAGGTAAGGTAACAAACAAAAGCGAGTGAAGCGCCAAAGACGTTCCGATCTCCAGCATGCATGATGTGTGTCATTCTCGGTGGCGTTGGCATATCGACCCAAGCGAATAGACTAGAGCAGGCTAGAGCTCGGACCATGAGGCTGAGACACCCCCCCGATGACCTTCACCCCGCCGCCACCCAAACATCAGGCCTTTATCTTCACGCTCCTGTAGCTCTTTATTCTTACTGACACACTTATCTCCCCAGGATTGCCTTTATAGCTACTGTTTGAGCTTGGCAATACCTCTTTCTCTACACGTCGCCACCGTTGATCATGAGCGCGCGATTAAGACCCTTGTTTCGAGACCAATTACACAGTATGTCTGGCCATCTGCTGCGCCTTGTGATACAGCCTCTACGCGCTGAGTGTGCCTAGTGTAGCAAGGCTGTATCATCGAAACGCTGCTCTCAGGGCGCCGAGCTTGCCGCCTGAGATTCCTTGTATTCATCTGACACCCTTCCAGATTCCGCCACACATTAGCATTCACCACTCACCTTCGACGAACACACTGAATTACGATTATTTTATTATCCCTCGAGGAAACTATACTCAATGCCTTCACAATCTCTTGATACCGGTTGGGACTTCAGCCCCGTCATTGATCTGATTGAATCTGCTTCCGAAGATATCTGCTCTCCGGCGCTCCGGCCCACAACGCAGAGCAGCTTCACACCAGCCTGCGAAGATGGCGGGGTACGCTTGGGCAGTTTCTCCAAGCTGTTTGAGAGCCTAGGCTTCTCAGACAGTTTGGTAGCACCGCTTCCACCCCTCGACCCTGACTCTGAGCTTAGCAACTCAGATGATGCTTTGCTGCCGTCTCCAACCTTGAAGCCGGCTCAGGCGCCCGTCGAGTGTGTTGAGAATTCAACTGTTGAGCCAATAAGCAGCCCTGGCTTGACTAAGACGCAGCGCAAGAAGGCTCGCAGACGTGCTGAGAAGGAGTTGCTGGAAGAGCAAACCCGCCAGCGGATCATGCAAGAAACACTTGATCAGCTCGCTGAAGAACGCGAGCAGAGGGAGCATCAAAAACAACAAGGCTCCAATGGCAAGCAATCAGACAAGCTTACCAATAACTCGGTGGAGGATAACGATGTTGCTGAAAAGCCGCAAAAGCCCTCCCGAACGAGTTCACGATCCAATGTTGGTGCAAAAATCCGACCTACGACCGCACCAGAATCCACAGGTGCTCATGACATTCAGCTGAAGCAACCGAAGCAGCCCAAAACACCCAAGCTTCGTCCTAGTATACTCAAGCAGTCGTACGCAGTACAGCCAGTGACTCCTCAGCCATTACAAAAGGCACCGGTCATTACACCCTGTAAAACGCCAGTACCTAATCTAGCCATACACGAAACGTCGAGCACTCCAGTGCTAGACCAACACATTGACCTCCCACCACAGCGGCCATCTCTTGTGGCTACTCCAGTGCTAGACCAACACATTGACCTCCCACCACAGCGGCCATCTCTTGTGGCTACTCCAGTGCGCCATGGACTTGTCCCACGAACTGTTCGACCAGTCACTCTACCAAGGTCTGCTTCACAACCCGCTGTTGTAGCCCAGGCTCCGACGACACCGACCCCACGGGCCGGCTCGTTCAGCGGACGGCGACCACCTCTTGTGATTCGATCGAAAACGGATCGTCATCTCCATCTGTTCAACAAGCTAATGGAGAAGTTTCCGGAAGACCAGAAGTGGCTGGTGGCGCCGATGCAGCTTCTGAACGAGAAGCAAAGCGAGCACGGTTTGCATGTATTCGTCGATGCCTCGAACATTATGATTGGACTCAAGGATATGCTGCGCTTGCATGGGCTTCACCATAACGCGTATGACATATCGTTTGATAGTCTTGCGCTGCTGATGGAGCGGCGCCGACCTGTAGCCAAGCGATTTTTCGCCGGCTCACACCGCGAAGCCAACCCGCTTCCTCACATTGAGAAGCTAGTGGAGACTTCGAAGGCAGTTGGGTACGACAGTGTGATGCAAGAGCAAGTGCTGATTGTACGGGAAGACTCTGAGAAGAAGAAATTCTTCAACGATGTCAAGAAGATGGGGTGGCACAAGGCGACGCAGATGCGGTCTGGCAGCGGCAGTGACTCTGAAACGAGCGCGCCGGCTCCCAAGACACCTGCAGCCCCGAAATGGGTTGAGCAGGGAGTGGATGAGATTCTTCACTTAAAGATGTGCCAGAGCATCATTGATTGCGAATGGCCGAGCACCATGGTGCTAGCGACGGGGGACGGGGCGGTTGCAGAGATGTCAGACGGGTTCCTAGCTCACGTGGAGCGAGCGTTGAAGCGGGGGTGGAGGGTGGAGTTGATCAGCTGGGGGCAGCAGATCAACAGTGGTTATAGGAAACGCCAATTCCGAGCCAAGTGGGGTGAGCAGTTTACGATTATTGAGCTGGACGAGTTTTTGGAGGATTTGATTGATACGCGGTAGGGGATAGATAGATGATGTGTTGTAGTGCATGATATCTTCAGCCTTGTGGTGTTTGACATTGTTTTGGCACGGGGTTGTTTGGGATGTTTTGTCTGTTTGAATAAGACGCTAGTTTTGTTTCTTAAAAATATGTCTAGGACAGCCTGTTGCAAGACCGGTGTCCATTTGTGATGGCCCAAACATTTTTATGCATGGTAAAGAAAGTCATGAAAGGGAAATGAGAGATGTTCATGCCCACGACATTTGCCAAGAAGCGCTCGTGTCGCTATTTGCCATGGTGATGAGCGGTACTCTAGTAAGTAGTAAGTAGGTGTAGAGTTGCAGTAGTGTCGAAATCCCGGCAGGACCCGCACTTTTGTTTTGTCGCGTGGTAGGTGGTTCCTGATCATCATCACATCATCACCCCCTTTTTTTTCTTTCCAACCCACACTATTGTAGTGTACTTAGTCTCCACGGAACTTCTACTTCATGTCCGTAAAGTAGGTTATGTAAGTATGCACATACCATACTCACAATCTATCACCGCAAACCCTGCAAAAGTCCGACCGAAAGCAAAAAAGAACCAAGTTTGCTAAAAAAAAAAAATCACCCCATACTCATACCCCAAACACACGCCGATCATCATTATCATCAGCAAATCTCGGCGCCCTCATCCGAGTGACCCCCCAAATAATTGAAATAAAACGTTGTATGGTAAGCTCGGGTACGAAGCGAGGGCATGTACTGTGTACATTTCTACTAGGGAAACCTCGATACGGCCCATACACGAACAGCAGCAAGCGGGAACGAAGGCAAAGGAGGAAAAAGATTGGATTAAACTACCCGACTCCCGCGCTCGCAGGAAGGGTGTTTGCAACATGGATCTCTTAATGGCTCGTGCCCGTGGGAATTCGCGCGGAACGACGGGGGAAGGGGCCAAGACGGACGATGAGGGGGGGAGGGATTGGCAAAGAGCGAAATGTTCGGTGTGATTTGTGAACTGGGAAGTTGAGTAGTGCAGTAGCGAGAGAGAAGCAGGGTAGTTGATGCGAGTGAAGTCTAGAACGGAGTATCGTATTTCAGATGGTTGCAGGTTGTGTGAATACGGGATACGAGTTACGGGAGGGGGCGCGCAAGGATTTGGGGGGCCGCGGTGGAGTTTTTTTGACTGCGACGGTGGCAGACCTGATAGGCTTTTCCTTCTTTTTTTTCCTGCGCGCTGTACCTGGATTGTTGGTGGGTTCGGGTCTATCCACACACGCACACCCTCGTTCCTGGCGGTTGTGAAACACTAGGTGGAAATATGCTGTGGACTGGGGGGCTTGGGGCTAGGCTGGGGAGGCGGATTTTCGGATGTGTGACAGTTCAACGGTGGAACGGTTGAGCCGGTGGGGAGGGGAAAAAGTTAGGGATATGGAAAGTGGATGCGTTTGCACGTTTATTTTGTTGGGCATGGGGAGGGCATGGAAGAGGGGAGATGGGCAAAAACTAAGGTTTGTGCTTTTGACAGCGGATAGGGTGGTGCTGTATGCAAATGCAAGAAGGCCGTCTCGAGTCAATTGGTGGTCATGCGCACGAATCAGATGGCATTTCTTGTTTTCTCAATGCGGGTAGATGGGGGTTTAGAGGGCCAAACGGTGTAGAGAGGGAAAACAGCATCACTCGAGTGGGAATAGGAGGCGTGAGGAAATTGCGATGGTCGCTGAGATTCGGCATGGAGGATAATTTTTTTCTTCTTTTATTTGTGAGGCATTTTCTTTGGGCGGGTGGCGGCTAGCGACGAACGCGATATGGGGGTCCTGTTTGTTTTGTTTTGTCTGCATTTGGTTTTTTCCCTTTGGCATAGTGCCGTGTGTAGTGGGCTTGTAAAGGGCGCTAAGCTGGATGTGAGGCTAACTATGGTGAGTCGGAGGGTCGTGCGAAGGACTAACTGTGGTCCGATAGTCCGCTCTCCCACGGGCGAAAAGGGCATCGATGCATGCAGGGATCAAAAGTAGGGCGGGAGGCAATGGAGCAAGAAGAAAAAAAGAGATTACGCCCTGCATTGCACCAGGGCGCAACAGTGCATCAAGAAGGAGGGGGAGGAAGCAGATAGACGAGACAATGGTACTCTGCTCTAGGCGAAGGTCGCAGGTCGGAGGCCGAGTGATGCGCGGGTGCGGATCTTACAATGTGCCGAGGCGCTTATTCAGACGACGAGGCGGACAATACAGTCAGCGGACGCCTTTTGGTGCGCGAGCCGGCGGATAGCAGGCGTGATTGGTAACCAGGGTCTACATCAGAATGCGACCTTTTGCGAGCGAGGAGGGGGAGGGGGCGGCATGGAGAGTCAGCGGTTTCAGGCGTGACATTGTCGCGGCCCAAGAAAGGCGTGTCGGACAAAGAGGGCTGCCTACTGTCGAGGGCGGTGGAGGAGAGGAACATGCTTTGTGTTTATCGTCAAGGCTGGGATGCTCCTGGCGGCAGACGAAACATGACGCTGCCAAGTCACAGCGACAAGGTGAGGCTCGCCTGCACGGCGGTGGACTGCTAACGAGTATGTTGATATGATATGGTCATGGCGGATGGAGCCTCCGCCGCGATGCCATGCGATGCCATGCTGCCATCATCGGCGGTGTGTTGATGTCATGGCGAGCTAAAGTAGCGTCCAGCGCATTACCGCATCATCCTGGCGCCAGCCAACGGACGATTTTTTTTTCTTTCCTCGTTGCAGCGACGGGTCCCGTACAGTTCCATGGCCGATAGGATGGCTATGGACGATGCTGATGCTGATGATGCTGCAAGGGCATCGGTTGCTTCAGGCGCGCCATGCATGCGCATGTATGTACACTGCCCTGCTGTGAAGCTGTGGTGTACCAGTAAGTACGCCTAGTAATTATTACTTACTCTGCCCCGGGCTGTGTAAGTACCATAGAATGACACTACCGTCTCGTCTACGCAGCCATGGCACCCACGGTCGGCCATGGCATGCAATCCGGCAACACGCATCACGCAGGCATAATGGCAATCGAGGACAGCAGCGTGAATCTTGGAAGCAATAGGCAGAGGCGGCAGGGCGCCAGGGCTGGAAACGAGATTGGGTGCACCCTCGTCCTAGCCCGCTCCGTCGTAGCCGCTCAAGTCGCGGACCTAATTTGACCCCCCGGCGCCCTGCACGCCTCAGCCATCCGGAGCTTCCCCTACCAGGTGCCTGCCTAACCTACCTAACCTGCCTCTCTTAATCCTCTAGCCCGCCCTCTTCCGCCCTGCCCTGCCTCCAAGCTTGCCTGCTCCAAACTTCCTCCCATTAAGCTCGTCGTCCCCTTGCACAAAAAAAGAAAATCTCCCCCCAAGAGGCTCGACGACGCTCGCCCCCAACCAAACGCCCCCTTCCTCTTCCTCTCTCCCTCCTTCTTCTCCGCCGTCCTCGCCCGAACTGCTGCCTCTGGTCGCGTGTGTTCCCGTCGCTCTACCAACCCGATTGCGCCACAGCCCGTTCCCCCAGGCGACCGAGTCCCTCCCTCTATTCACCATGACCAACAAGAGCTACCTTGCATTTCTTGAAAACACCACGGCTTCAGACATGCTCTCGCGCACCACCGTCCCGGGCCTCGCTGCCTTGCCCAGTCTTATCCCCCACCGCGTCCGCAGGAAATGGAGAGCCACAAAGTCCCGTATACGCAGTCGCCAGTCCGTCACCTCGTCCATCGCCTCGCTCGAGACGTCCTTCTCCCCCTCGGACACCCTGCGTTCGCTGCGCACCCACTCGTGGTCCATATACGACGCCCAGTATCTGTTCCTCGCCATTGTCGCCATCTTCTCCCTCTCCGTCAGCGAGGCTCCAGGGCCCTTTGCCAAGACGTTTGTTGCGACGCTGCTCATGACGGGCTTGTGTCTTCCCATTACTCGCCAATTCTTGCTCCCATTGCTTCCTACTCTTACCTGGCTATTCCTCTTCTCGAGCTGCAAGTACGTATTACTGCCTACTACAACCTTTGGTGACTCTGTGTGCTGACTACCATGTCTAGATACATCTCCGAAGACTACCGACCTGCCATTTGGGTCCGCGTCCTCCCCGCTCTCGAGAACATTCTCTACGGTTCAAACCTGAGCAATATTCTCTCTGCCCACAAGCACACCGTCCTTGATATCCTTGCATGGTTGCCTTACGGTGTTGTCCACTACGTATCGCCCGTCATTGTTAGCGGATGCATGTTCATCTGGGGTCCCCCAGGAACCCTTCCCATTTGGGCTCGTGCTTTTGGATACATGAACATCACTGCCGTCCTCATCCAGATTGTTTTCCCATGCTCCCCGCCATGGTACGAAAACACCTACGGATTGGCTCCCGCCAACTACAGCATTCACGGCGACGCTGCAGGTCTCAAGGCCATTGACAAGCTTACCGGCATCGACATCTACACTTCCGCCTTCCTTGGCTCCCCCATGGTCTTTGGCGCTTTCCCCTCTCTGCACTCTGGATGGGCTACTTTGGAGACCCTGTTCATGGGACACGTCTTCCCCAAGCTGTTCCCAGTCTATGTCTTCTACACCATGTGGCTGTGGTGGTCGACCATGTACTTTTCCCACCACTATGCCGTTGACCTGGTTGCCGGCAGTCTTCGTGAGTTTTCAACTCTTCATTTTCGTCTCAATCCTTGCTAACGATATCTCCAGTCGCCGGTATCTGCTACTTCTTCGGCCGCGCAAACTTCCTGCCCCGCCCTCAGGCCGACAAGGAGTTCCGCTGGGACTACGACTTTGTCGAGATTGGCGACCCAATGGACCGTGCTGGCTACAGCATGCTCGACATCTACGAGGAGTTCCCACCCAATTCTGATTCAGACGATTGGGCTACCGGTTCATCGTCATCCTACTCTACTGGCGGTCGCAGCCCAATTGGTGCTCGTTCACCTACTGATGACAACCAGAGCCTCTGGGATGGAGACACAGTCGGATCCGATACCGAGCACACTCTCCGCAAAGACTAGAGCCACACCCATCTACACCTTCCGCCTCATAACCTTACACCCATCTCTAAACTCGCACATCACCTAATAATCTCCCCAGGTGACGGCCTTTACGACCTATGCATTTGACTGGAGTTTTTTGTTTTGCGCAGCATTTCAGCGTTCCATGGATAAACATGGGCATTATGGTATAGAAACACGGGCGTCCTCTACAGTGTAGAATGACGACATGCATCCCTGTTCAGAACCACTCGATATTTTTCTCGCAGTGGATTTCTTCTAGCGCCAGAGAGCGTGGTTTTATTGTAACCCCACTTTTTTCTTTTGATACCCAAGTCAATCGCTTCCTATTGGCAGCTTTTTCTATACAAGAAAAGTTCCATTTTTATACACGTTCGCTTCAGCGCTCAGCCGCTCAGCCGCTTACCCTTTGGTACGCATGGCATATCTGTCCATGGGCAGGTCTTTCTTCTTCTCTTTCTGACGATGATGTTGGGATAAGGGTCAAAGGGGGGGGAAACGGCTGGGATTGCATTGGTTGAATCAACGCATGGATTCCGACACGTACCGGAGCAAGCACAGGGCCCTGGTGGAATGAATTTAACACGGGCCTTTTGTTTCTTCCTTTTTCTTCCTCTTCTTCTTCTTCTTCTTTTTTACCCGTCTGCAATTGCACGGACGCGGTTCATACCACATCACACACACCCTAACGTAATGCTTAATGGAAATCAGTCATGGTTGAATGAAATCAAACAATTCACAAAACATGACAGCCAATACAATTTGGTACCAAAGTCTCCATCTCTCTCTTGTGTGTGTTGTCTGCCCACCATAATGCTGACATGTGAAACGGGATCGGCGTGACCTTGTCCTGTTCGCGGACAAGTGCTTAGCTTACGTTATTCATCCTTGGGGGCTGGACCTCTCAACAAGCATGCTTTGCTACTTACTTTACCACACTTATGTACATATCCAACCCACCATGGCTTACTCAGGTGAGGTGGCCTGGCTGATTAACTCCATCTACTTACTTACTAGTCGTAGTAACAACCCAAAGCACACGAGAACAACTTGACATAATGACCGACCAAGTAAGAACGTGTGTTGTCCAAGTACCTACTATTCATATCTTTCCAACCCCCCTCCGTAGCTGAATCTTAGGACTTGTTTTTTGGGGGGGAGGGGGGGTGCAGCTTACACAGATGAGATGCGGAGATCGTTACGCTCGCTCCTATCAGCATAACAGCATGTAAGCAGCCATTGAGCTGAAATCAACTTTAAAGTAGTAGGAGCTTAGATTTGGATTTGGAGAATCAGCTCATGTGGGGGTGTATAGTACTACTACTTAGTCCACTTTAAGCTGAGATAGGAGTCGGTTGGTTGGTTGATTAGAAGCGAGTAAAACGCTCAGCTCTTCTCGGCCTTGAATGGATTGATTGATTGATGGGGTCTGTCTGCTTTCCAATCATCACCTCTCTCTTGTATGAGGAAGTGCTTGCATTCGCCAAGACAAGACAAGTCTCCACGCGGAACCCGGCGGAAGACTTGTGTATAATTGCGTGCTTGACTAGTGCAATTGGCTGATGATAGCAAGCTTGGTTATGAGATGGTCACACGACTACTTTTTTTTTTACCTGTTATCTCAAGCATCGTAGTATCATTCCCTTAACCTACCGCATGCATGCATGCATTGCATACACTTTGTCATACACAGATAAGAACCATGTTCGCTAGCCGCCTATGGAATACTCACTCACACTTCCCAAGAGGCTACTCTTTTTTTTTGTTCCCTGCCCCCACTAACCCAAGTACACGTACAACCCACACCACTACCCAGGCTAGAACAAGTCGAGAAGATCCTGGTTACTCTTCTTACCCTGCTCAGCACCTGATATTTGCTGGGCTGGCGGTGGCGGCTGATTCGTCTCCATGCTCATGCTTGCAAATCCATTCATAATGTCATTGTTGCTCATTTGACCCGCAGGAGCAGCGGGTGCACCACCTCCATCGCCGAATAATCCTAGCAGGTCATCCATATTTGATTGTGCTGGAGGCGCATTTGCCACGGGTGATGATACGCGTTGAGGCGTACCGGCAAGGCCTTCCAATCCAGACGCCCCGTGTGTGGGCTGCTTTTGCAACGAAGCAGGTGCAGAACCATCGAAATCAATGTCCAGGAGATTCTCCACGTTAGTGGGCGCTTGTCCACTAGCTGCGGCGGCAGCTGCAGCTGCGGCAATGGGATTCTCCCGTGCTTCCTCTTGCTGCTCCTCGATTGCCGCTCGTTGCATCGCCTCCGCGCCGAACCTGCCCTGTCCAAGGAAGGCCTCCGGTGGCTTGTGGTAAACTGACGCCAAAGTCGACAGCTCTGCAAGCAGATTCTCCAGCAGTTGGGGAGGCAGTGACCGTATTGTCGATGTAATCGGAGGCTTGTCTGAGAGTACAATTTCCTGATCAAGTCAGTAGTTGTCCAAACGCCATATTTCAAAAATTGCATACCTTTGTTATCTGTGGGTCACTGGAAAGCAGCCGCCAGTAGACATAAGCTCTGTCCCGGATATCTGGGTTGTCATTGTCTGCTGTAGCGGCTTGTAGGACCTTTGTGACTAAGCCCTGTGCTTGATCTGGCTTCTTCAAGAACAGCTTGACGACAGCTGTGAGGATCTGAAGTTGTGTCTGGACACTGTTAGCATTGCCCGCGCAGACGTATCACCAAAACTTACCTGAGTGAACTCTTCAGCAAATGTGTCAACGAAATTTGATAGAATCTCGCCAGCGTTGTTGATCTTCTCTGCATACTCTCCAACAATCCAGATGAGAGAAGCCCGTGCATTCGGCTCATCCAGCTCGTCTATGCACTGGCAGAGTGTCGGTATTATACCCTCGTATCCAGGGTACTTTCGGAATATGTCCTTGATGACAACAATCGCCTCCTGGACGACATAGTTGACCTTGGTGTTGATAAGGTCGAGCAGTGTGTTGACACACTTCTCGCTCGCGCTTTCGATCTTGATGGCAACTTGTCCAATGGCCTTGACGGCTCGTCGCACAAAGTCCATGTCCACCTCCATAGCGTACTCCTTCAACTCGGCCAGTAGTTGATCCACGTTCTTATCGTTTGCTATCCGCACCATGATTTCAAGCTTTTGCATCTTCAAGTATGGCGGGTCGTTGTATTTGCAAAAGAAAACACGCATTTCCTTGCTGAGAATGTCGGGTTGCTTCTGAAGGAGGAGGTCAATGTTCCGTAGTGCAACGTACTGTACTTCTGGTGCAGACGACACGAGTGTAACTGTAGTATATCAGCAGCGATCACATGATTTCTCAAGTTCAATACGCACCTAGCGGCGGTGCCATCTTCTTCTGGTACGACTTCATCATCTCAGGTGAGATATGCTTCATGTGCAAGAAGACGACCTTGACAGCTGCCAGCACCACACTGGGATTTACATGCTGGAACTGCGGGACAACCCTTTCGCAAATGTGCTCTGCCTCCTTGATATCCGCTGCCTTGTAGTCTGCCAGAGTGGTGAGCAAAGTCACACGACCCCACTCTGTGCACTCGTTCAAGGCCAGAAGCATCTTCTTGAGTTGTGACGAGGTGATGACGAGAGCCTTGGTTTCCGGGGCGGTCTCCTGAATTTCTACCAAGGCTGTAACCGAGTTTGCGACGACCATGGGATTTGGGTCTCCGACTAGTTCCTGGAGCTGCTCGAGGAAGCCATTCTCAATGCACATGGCGGGAGCAAGATCGAACAGCTTAGCCACACACAGCGCTGCGGTCTTTCGTACATATGGCGATTCGTCTCTCAGCGTTTTCCGCAAGGGCTCTTCCATGTAGTCCGTCATCTTATCAACGCGAATACATCCCATTGTCCGTATCGCCAACGCTCGTATGAGGGGGTTCGGGTCTTCCGAGTCTTGAACAAAGGTATTCACGGCGAGAATACAGAGGTCGGGGTGTGATTTGGCATAGTTCCTGAGGTATAGAATCAGTATCTTGGTAGTATCCCCAGCGTTGGATGCACGCACATGAGGTATAGATATACCAGCTTCTTCTGGTCCAAGTCGGCGGTTGCGATATTCTTCAGTACATCAGGAAACAGCGCAGACACATCCTTGCCGAGCGTCATTGACATGATGGTCTTTTGAATGGCCTCTTTTCTGCGACAGTCTTAGTGCTTTGCTAGCCTTTTTATTATCCATCGTGGTACCGGGCGCTCACCGTTCGTAGGCATATTGGGAACTAGAGGCAATCGTCAGTTGTGAACAGCTGTACTTGTGCCTGGGGTAAAAGCGTACACCAGACCTGCCCGCAACTCGAATGTCTCTCCCTTGCGCGGCGGCGCAAATGCGCCCCTTATCCTATTGACAGCCATATTTGTTGTAAGAAACGCAGCAGCCGATTGCTCAGCCTAATAAGCCAAACCCCTCCGATTGCGGTTCGTTCAAATGTGAATGTTCGTAGACGGTCGATTCGAGGCGGGTGTCGCGATTCAGATTCCCTGATCGTTCTGGACACAGCAGTCGGGAAATTGTCGTCTTTCAAAGTCGAGTGGCGTCGCGGGGGAGTGAATTGCTAAAGGGACAATGTTGGTGGAGCTTCGCGACTGCCACCTTGATGATAAGGCCCGTGCGTTGGGATGGCATCTAGCCCAACGCTTCGATGCTTTCGCCGTCGCCGTCACTCCGCTATCACAGGAGGATCATTATGGTGAGTTGACAAGGGGAATAGTTACTCTAGGTCATGGTTCTGATGCAGACTGATAGCCTTCTAATTTGCCAAATCTACGTCGGCTCTTTGTCGACGCGCGTAGCGAAGCCGAAGAGAGCGCGTACTCCAGAAAGGCTGTATGTTCTTGCTCAGGCACGCGATAGGCCTCAACTGTTGAGCTGATTGATACTACAGTTCTACAACCTCGCCATTTTCATTTCTTCTGTTGCTGTATTTAGTCTGATGGCTCAGCGCATGGCTTCTGCAAAGATGATTACTTCGTAAAAGAAAATGCATTGTGCGAATGGCATGTTCGCCAAGTTGCACAATGATTCTATTGCCATGGAATGTGATGACGGTCTGGTTCTTTTGAACACACCAAGAACTTGAATTTATCACTTCCCCAAACTCAAAGTCCATAATAGATGCGTATGGGCTGACGTGATTTTATTCCATTTCTCAATACACAAAATGTGCATACTAGAACACACATGGACAGCAATGTGTCATGTTCGTCCAATAGCCTCAGCAAAGAACCACCACTTTGTGAGAAACAGGTTTAGTAAGTACCCTCATCAGAGCACCCGCAAAACCCTACCAAAACAAAAGCAAAAAAAGCCCCTTCGCACATCACAAATTCCCAATCCTTCATTGCTATAAATCACAAGCGCAAGATAAAATCATAAAGTTCGGACGTTGCCAAATCTCGATATGCCCCCCCCCCCCTCGGCTATGTCGTTCATCCAAAACCCAGCGCCTACCTACACCCAACCCAGTTTCACCCCGAGACACACACACACACACACCCTGCCAACCCAATCCCTCCCTTTCTCATCATCATCATCATCTCAACCCCCCCCAAACCCAGAGAAATAACGCAATCAGAGGTTGCCCTGCATCGGAACGTCCTCAGCCCGAACGATGCTATTAGCCATGCCGGGTAAAGTGTAGGAGGTTGTCGCGATACATATGCTGCAACACCTTCGTGCCTGATCGCCATCCAGGTTTTGTCATGTCTGCGTTCGTCATAGTGCGACGCATACTACGTTTCGGTCGGATTTATGAATAGTGTGCTAAGGTGGAAATTTATGCGCCGAGGAAAAACGGGAGGTTTTTTGACTAGTAGTAACTGGAACCCTAACAATAGTAAAGCTAGGGCTATTGTTGTTGTGTGTATGTGTGTGTCAATTCTGTCAGAAAAGTCTGCCCCCCCCCCCGTTCTTTGACAGACTTGACGTAACGTTATTGTTGTCACTATAGGAAAGTGGCGAAGGGAAGGAAGGAAGGAAAAAATAAAGTGGTATGATTCTACATTTCATCAATTCGCATAGGGCAGTGGGATATTTGAAGGGGGAGGGATACAAAAAGAGCTACATAGGGCGCAAAGGGAAACAGGATGAAGAAACAAAGAAGAATAAAACAAAGAAAAAAGACTTCTCTCTCGCTCGCTCGCGCAACCTTTAGAACCAGTCCAATGAAGCGCTTTTGCTTCAATCTCCGTAGAGCATTGACATTCCCTCTCTCTATCTCTTCCTCTTCCTTTGCACCCTACCCTTTGCTCCCTAACCCCCCCCTCAAACCATCATTCCCATATGTGTGTATGTATGCTGTTTCTGTGTGATTGTTTTAAAACTTAACCAATGGATAAAAAATTTGGTTCCTGTTGTGGGATTTCAAGAATAAAAAAGCCATCCATTATAGCGGCGTATAACCGCCCTTAGACTCCAAGCCTCACTGTGTTGTTACCAACCTCCCCTAATCATGCGTTACTTCTACACTCTCGTCAAATCCGCCTGGCGTGTGGGTATGGATGGAGCCGTTTATGCGATGTAGTGGCGGCGGGAGAAGCGGCCACGACCGCGGCCACGACGTCCACCGAAGCCACCTTGACCGCCCTGACCACCTTGGCCTCCCTGACCGCCCTGTCCTCCTTGACCCTGGCCGCCGTTCTGACCGTTGTTCTGACCGTTGTTCTGGCCGTTGTTTTGTCCGTTGTTCTGTCCGTTGTTCTGTCCATTGTTCTGGCCGTTGTTGTTGCCACCGTTGTTCTGACCGTTGTTGTTGCCGCCATTGCCGCCGACGGTGAACCTTACACAGTCATCCTGGCCACCACGCTGAGCAACGGGCATGATAACAGGCGCATGGTTGCTGGATGAGGTAAGAGTGCAGGCACGGTAGACGCCATCAGGAAGACCATCAGCAAGGTCGGCGGTGAGTTCACCCTGGCCGTTGGCAGCGGTGTTGACACCCTTGAAGAAAGCAAACACCTTTGGATCAGGAGGGTTCGCAGTGTTGATGTCGTTATTCAGGTCCTGGACAGTGATGTGCGTGTGGCCAACAATATTTCCGCCCTGCAGAGTCTGGGGAGCAGCGTAATAGGTGTTGTCAGGGTTCGTAAACGAGCCAGCTACCAGATTGTTGGTCTTGACGGAGAATGTGATTGCCTGGTTGGCCTGAATAGTGTCGCCATTCTTGGGGTTGGTAAAGACAGTTGAGATCATGTTATCGACAGAAGGGATATCTCCATAGACTGTGTAATGGTTAGAAAATGATGCAGACATGGGGAATAGAGCACACTAACCAATGCCGTTACAAGAACCCTCACGGACCTGAAGACCGTTGGTCTTGGTCTTGCCTTGACAGAAGTTGATAAAGTTGGCATCATCGCTGGTGATGTTAGTACTATAGACACAGGGAATTGTGGGTATGAAAACTTACGTGTTGGAAGGAGCCTGTCCGGCCTCCGCTTGACCTCCAAGTCCGTTGGATTTACTGGCATCCTGAACATTGTCCGCGTTGAGGCAGAGTGCGTTGTTGTTGCCACCGTTGTTGCCGCCGTTGTTATTCTGGCCGTTGTTCTGACCATTGTTCTGTCCGTTATTCTGGCCGTTGTTTTGTCCATTGTTCTGGCCGTTGTTTTGTCCGTTGTTCTGGCCGTTGTTTTGTCCATTGTTCTGGCCGTTGTTTTGTCCATTGTTCTGGCCACCGCCCTGTCCACCACGCTGTCCACCAAACTGGGCATTGGCGACACCTGCCGCGAGGAGAAGGGGGACGAGAGTCGAGAACCGCATGTTGAAGTCTTGAAGTGAGATCTGGAGTGAGGAAGAAGATAAAAAAGGGTTATAAGGAATGGCGATCCGACTGGCGGTGGATTACAATAGGGAGCAGAGAAGAAGAGACAGATACGTTCAACGTAATCTGATAGAAAATAATTAAGAGGAAGAGAAAGGAATGTAACCCTCAACTGCAGAACCGGATTGTGAGAAAAAACAAGCGACTGATGATGGCAAGAAGTCAAATACTTGTCGAGGAAAAGGTCCCTTAAGTGCTTGGCGATGTCCATAGGCTAAGGACAGCAAAAACAACCTGGCAAGGCGGCTCCTCGTTCCTTGGGCATGAAACCCGCGATGAAGGCAGACATGTCTCACACCCACATACTCCGGCAAACATGGGCTCACGCACGGGGCGCAATTGACTGAGGCTGTTGTGGCAGCCACGCCGATACAGGAATGCGCCAGGCATTGAGGAGGAGACGCGAGAAACGGATGGTGTTAGAGGTTGGCCATGTAAAGCACAGAGTGCCGCGAAGGTTGTTCCCGCTAGCCGCATCCGGCTACGGCCCTGCCTCATTGGGCTTGACGCTGCATGGCGCCAGGCACTTTTGCCGATCCTCCTCGTTTTCAAGCATATTGTAGTATACCCCATATAATGCTTTGACTGCGTATTCAACGGTAACCGAGTGCGCCGCAGGAATGTGTAATAGATCCCTATAGCTTTCACCAGCGTCGTAACTAGCCTTGCGGAAATTAGTTGTAGCCCCTCCGCCACGAATATGTGACCCATGCCTCCTCCTCGTCGAGCCTCACTACCACACTGTGGTGTGTGATGTGTGATTCGTGCATTATTGACAAGGCTAGTTGACATTGTCGTCATCTGTCAACAACGGTCGCCACAGGTGACAGGCGGAAGGCCCCAAGGCCGAAAACAGGCACTCCGCAGCGCTCAAGTGTGACCTGAGTCGCACTTTGCACACATGCACACACCAGCACTCGACAATGGCGGCGAAAGTAAAGCCCGTGTGCAATATCTCTGCCCTGTTATCAGCAGGTATTATCCAAGGCGCTAACCCACCCTTCCTGCTCTTGCATCGCCCACCAACAACTTGCAGGCTCCGCAGTGGATGCAACCCTCGCTGCACCCGTATCAGCGTAAGTCTTGTTTCTTGAAATCCTCCGTGCTCGCGTATACACAAAGTCTTGGTTGTATCTTTCTGAGGCTCGACCCAAGACTTTTCCAAGGGAACAGGTACCCGTTGCTCCCGCATTGGCAAAACGTGCCCTCTTCGGAAACGAAAAGCTGACACGCGTTGCGTTGAACCCGCACAATGCGTTTGGTGTGTACCTTGGGGAAGATTACTGAATCAACGTAAATTACCCCATGCGGATCGGCTTCAATGGGTCCCTCGGCGGGCCTGAGGCAAGGTGGGTTTTCAGGCACGATAGATCTACATCTGTAACGGACTTGCACAAAAACAACTCAAGTTGGACTACTCTGAAGCAGGCTGGTGACGTTGGCTGGGGGGGAAAAGGTGGAAGGCTGGCGCGATCCCTTGCTGAATAATTTCGACTGCGCTTGTTGTCTTAGACTCTAGCCACGCGTTATTCTTCGGAACTGCGAATATCCATGCCTTGGAATTGTCGAATGCTCTACCATGATCTAGAAGACGCTACCTTTGCGATTTCAGACAACCACTTGCCCCTTCATAACCTGAACCGCGCCACCTTCGAGACGGACCTCCGAAATAGACCCGTTTTCATTCATGTCGACATCGATGAGAATCTCGCTACGCCTCCCCATCTCTACGCCTTGCACGATCTCGTACTGGAACGTCTTGTTGGCTCCACCTTCGGTCAGTGAGAGATAGGCTGCCAGATCACTGGCAGCACTTCCAGTAGCTGGATCTTCCAACGGACCCTCGATCATCCGCGTCCTCAGTGCCGTCACTCCTTGGTCCTTGTTTGCCACTCGAACAAAAAAATACATGCCAACAAAGGTCTCATCCCAACCTTCATCCAGGCCATTGATCGCAAGGGATTGGCCAGCCAACGACACCACGGCCAAGGCCTCGACGCTCTCCAGCTCAACCAGAACAAACGTCATGCCTTTGACAATGGAAACTATGGGGAAGTCATTCTTTACTTTGATCTTGCCCTGGCTATGAGCTTCTTCCAACTGAGGCTGTACTTTGAAGAGCATCTCGTTGGTATATCTCTTTTCATGAACGTGTCTGTACTGGTCAGCCTGCATGGAGCGCACTCGAGTTTGCATTTGTCAACTAAAAAGACAGACAGAGCACAGCATTGAACGAAGATTCAAGACAGCATCGCCACCACTCGGATCGGATTGAATAAACCGAAATTCCAAATTCGCAAACACAGACCTGACAACAAACGTAAATAAGGGAATCAACAACGTACACATCGTGAGGTATCGAAGCCTTGGCCGTCTTCTTGGCCACGTCGTATTGTAGCCGTACCGGTCCAGATTTCAAGCTGAAGGCAGCCTCGATGACGCCATGGTCCAGGCCCTGAGCCTGAGCAGTTCGTCCTAGGACGTAACACGCCGTACCCACTGTGGGGTGTCCTGCGAACGGTAGTTCCCGCGATGTCATGAAGATGTCCACGGTCCATGCTAGATTGGCTTCACCCTCCGCATTCTCATGCAGGAAAGTTGTTTCGGAAAGGTTGAATTCTCGTGCAATGGCCTGCTTCTGTTCCTGAGTTAGTGTGCGGCTGCTAGGTATGCGCACAATGGCTAGCGGGTTGCCTTGGTATGGCTTGGAGGTGAAGACGTCTAAGGTGACAAAGTCGAGCTCAGCGCTTGTTGCCATTATGCAAGGAGGTGGCGACGTAGGCACTGTGTGGCAGATGTGATGGAAGCAATCCGATGTGCTCTGGAAAACATTTGTGATATGCACCTGCTCTGGTTGGGGTGACTCATCAAGAATACACGTAGGGCGCGCTGCCGACTCCTGCTGACCCTCCCCCTCCCCCATCTTCCCGCTAGTTGCCCACAGAATGCAGTCAAACACCCTAAACCTGAGGTATGGTTGTGGCTTTCAATGGATCTCCGGCACTCTACATTTGTTACCACTGGCAGGTGTCATGACGTATAGCTGGTATCGATAAGGACCCAGCGATGATGGCTGGTCCGATCAGTAATACACCTGGGAGGAGAGTGGGGTCTAGAAGGCACGAGGAGTAGCTAACAGGCACAGGATCCATTCATAGTATTTGAGATAATTGCCCATCTGGACCTGCACCAAAGTCGATCGGATTGTTTGCTTTTTTCCATGCGTTGCGAGGGTCTGCTCAGCTACACTTGACCTACGGGATATGCACTAAGATGCGCTAGAAGCTATTAGCTGGCCTTGACGTGCAGCGTACCTGATATCGGAGGTTGGCCGACGCACAAGATTGCCTGTTTGGTAGCACGGCTTGGGGGGCTAAGCCATGTTCTTAGCTACGCACATACTTTGAACGCACATGGGAAGTTGGAGGTGTTGGAGGCAATACCAGACGGGCGTCCCCCTGAAGTTCGGTACTACAGATGACTATTGTGATGTGTGACGACAAGAGACCGATTAAGTTCCTGGTACCTTTTTCCATGTCGGACGAAACTCCGCCAATACATGATAGAGCGCAGTGCCCCGCGGAGCCCCGTCAGATTGCGGAGAAGAGAGGTAGCCAAGGGAGAGTAATGATTATCCTCTAGCAACAAGCCAAGTCAAAGGGAGAGTAGTAACTATAGGGAAAAAAACCCGTAGCAATGGTAACATGGTGTTTACTTGAGGGGGACCCAGTGATTAGTGCTTTGGCGTGACGCGCAACAAGTTGAGACTTTACGAAACCGAGAGCGATGTTTGTCGCGTACGTAGTGATGAGACGACGAGTCTCACGCGCGGGCCAATTCCCTTATGGTTGGCAATGAACAAAGGCTGAATGCACGATGTATACTCATTGGGGTGCAGCAGCAGCGGTTGTGTTGATATCAAGGGAGAGGGGGGTTAATAGAAGCTCTGACGAATCAGACCCACGGACGTTTGGCGGGGAGATGGTGGGAAAGCCGGGAAAGCGCGGAATGCTGGGCACCCCCCGCCAGATTGATCGCCACGGAGATTATTGCAACGGCCCAATATGGATTCGAATATGCATGTTTGGCTTGATGCGTCTGCGTCGGTGTACGCCGGCTTGTGCTGTTCACCAAGGCCGATGTCCGTAACATGAAACTGCCATCTATAGCTTACCTCGAGCGCAAGATGAGATCTACACCAGGAGTATGATTCGCTGAGACTACGATGGGCATGCTTGGATACGGAGTATCCCACTCGCCAAGGGATGACAGGTTCTGGACGGATTAGGTGAGACGGTCCTGGCTGAGGCGACGACGGGGCTAGGCTTGGGCTCCGCCGGAAGCTCAAATGGGGATGCAGTGCGAATATTAAGACTGTGAAGACTATATTTTGCATTGTGTTGCGCTCTGGACGGCCGAAACGCATTGGCAATGCACTTGTTTGCAGCATGAGGAGCATGGTTGTTGGTGCCCAAGGATGTGCTTGCTAAAGCCTATCGGACTCGGTCCGACGGGGCAGCTAGCAACGTCGAACCGTGTCGTATTAGTGTGTAGCGTGGATGCACGAAGAAATTGCATACAAGACGGGATGGTGAGATGCGTGTATGCCCATTGTGGACACGACTGCATCTCTCGAGTGCTTTTTTGTCAGAGAAGCCGCGTGTGGTGGATGGTGGGAAAAGAAAGGCAGAGCGAGGGAGCACTTGCAAGGGCTGGCGTGGGATTGCAGACAGGGGGGTTTGGTGACGAGGGTGCAAGGGTGGGTGCAGGACGACGGCTGCAAGGTACACGGTTACATAAGTAGATGGTCATATGTAAGCGGACAGAGGGATGAAGGGGCGCTGAGTGCTATTAGAGCAGAGTAATAGGTGAAGGTCGTTTTGGGATGTGGTGCATGTCGAAGCAACTATTGGCGGGGCTAGGATGCGAGGGGAGGGTTGCGTTGCGTGCGTAAGTATGTAAGGACGAGGGTCCAGGCAGGACCAGTGACAGACAGGCTAGACCCGGCGACCCAGTGTAAGGAAGCAAATAGTGCAGCGTTGACAAGTGGCTGGGGGGGTGTTAGTGGTGTTGCAGTCACGACGGTTGGAGGGATCATCAGGAGCAGGCCAGTGCAAGAGCAGCAGTGTTTGCAGCAGCCAGCACAGGCACACAGGCACAGACAGGTACAGACGCAGGCGCATGCTAGCGGTTTGGAAACAGGCACAGGCAATGCAATTTTGTGATTGGGCCGGGGCAGAAAATGGCGGGCGTTGAGTGGTGCATGGCGGAGCAGTCGAGGGGAGGGTGCATGAGGAGGTGCATGTGTAGTCTGCAAGGTGCGGCATTGACACGGTCGCCGTTCAGCGTGGAGTTTGCAGCCAAGTGGGACCGATGGAAGCAACGAGAGACAGGCAAAACAGTAGTTTGAGTTTGCCCTCGACTCGACTCGCACGCCTTTGGGCTTTGGTCGCCCTGACTCGGCCAGGGAGGCTCGATACAGCCGGAACGATGGACCCTGCTGTTGCTGCTTGGCCGTCAACCCGCCATCCGTCCGCTCTCAATCTCAATCAGTCAGCCAGTCGTCAGCCCGCCAGCCAGAACGACCGACCGACTAAGGACTCGTAGTAAGTAGTATCATGATGATGCCGTGGCTCATGCGCAGCGCCGACGGCCGAGATGGAGGAGACGAGACATGGGTGACGTCGCAAGGGTCTGCGGTGGTGACCAAATGAGGCTGAAAGGGCTGGAGGCTGAGAGGGCTGCGTGTGCTTGTGCTTGTGCTGGCTGGCTGCTGGCTGAGCGAGAGGGCTGCACCATTGTCTGGATCACGATGACGGTGCGGCGAGCGTGTTTCCCAAAGCGTAGTCTGCTGCACCGGGGCAGCGTCGGCGTGGAGCCGGGCAACCTGGGAGCGATGCAGCGCCCTAGGCCCAGCTGGTCATGGTTCTCGGGGAAGCTGGAAGCCCCTGTCACTGACGCCACTCATGCAAGTGCAACTCTGCCCATCACGGGCCCCCCGCGCAGGGATGAGGCCCGCTGCTGCGACCGTCGACTAGAGCAAACGCAAAAACCCTTTCTGTATACCTATCCGCGCTCTGCCCGTGCCTTGTCCTAAGCCTCCCCTTCGGCCACTACATACCCCAAGCTCCTCCCTCTTTTCTCCTCCACCACACCCATCTCCATCCGCGACCCGACAACGGCTGCGTTTGCCCTTCCTTTGTTGACCCTCGCGCCCACAAAGTGCCCGGTAACACGACTAAACGCCGACCCATCCCCACCCATTCTCGACTACTCACCACCACCAACCACCACCACCACAACAACAACAATAACAACAACCACCGCCGCCGCCATAACAACAACAACAACAACGCAACCACAACCACAAAACCTCGACCACCGCATCTTGCTTGCTTGCTCTGCTTGCTTTTCTCCCCGTCCGCCTCGGACCTGGTTCCAGTTCCTTCCTTTTATCGGGCTCCGCTCCCGGTCGTCGCTTCCTTTCCCTCCCACCACACTGCGGCCCCCTCCCACCTCCCCCACCAAAACCCCACGTCCACCCAGTTACCTCTTGCTCTTCACCACCACTACCACCACCACCAACCAGCCACTGCAACTTCCGCGGCCTCGACTGCGCTGCCACACGCACTCTAGTGCTGCTGCGGCGTCGCCAATCTGCCAAAAACAAAAGGCGCCCTCGGTTTCCCCTCGCATTGACACACTACAAAGCCTTCGCCATGTCACCCAGTCATTCACGCAACGCCTCGGACGAGTCCAATCATTCCTCCATGGCCTATGTTCTCGAGCACGTTTTGCAATACCCCGGCAGCTATGACATTCCCCTCAAGACCATGTACGAGCTGAACCGCGTGGACCGAGCTCACCCGCTCCCCAAGAATCCATCCAGGTCTGGCAGCACATCCCCCGTCAATGGCCAATTCGCCTGGAACAGCGCTGAAGCTGCGACCATGAGCTTCACCTCGTCCCTTATGAACCAGCTCAAGGCCCTGCCCACACGGACCAGCGCCCTGCCTCCCGCCTTTATCGTCAACTTTGTCACCCGCACCTTCATGCCCGACCCCTCAGAGGTCGACTGGAGCCAGGCCTTGACCGCCCTCGACTACCTCAAAGATCTCGAGACCCGCCGCCGTCGCGAAATGGCGACTACCTTTGAAGCTCTCGACGTCCACAGGGACACGTGGGAAGCCGACATGGCCCGTGTTGCGGAGACAGCTCCCGGCATTGCTCTGTGGATCAACAACCTCGAGGGCAAGAACCAGAAAGCCGAGTCATACTACGCCCAAATCTGGCTCGGTCTTCGTCGATGGGTAAGCATTCTTCCTAGTTCCCTTGGCATTGCTTCGTGTACTAACGCCAATTCGCAGATTATGATCAACCACCTTTCAGACGATGAGTTTAGCAAACTCAACTGCATCAGCTACCTCAACACTCTGTTTCCTCCTGTCCACAGCCAGATGAAATTGCCTTCCCAATATCTGGATCACGAGGCTCTCAGGCAAGAGCGCCAGGTCTTCTTCGACATGATCAGCCAGGTACAGAGAAGGGGCCCGGATGTGCTGCTCCCATTGATCAACCGTGACAAGCGCCCCGAAGACGCTACTGGCTGGCCCTCTGTTCAGCGCATCGTCGACAAGTACCTTCGTGTAGCCCAAAACATGATCCAGGACTGCATATCAACACACGGCCCAGAGTCGTTTGACCGATACATGAATGGTCCCGGAAAAGAGAAGAAGCACGACTCTGGTGTCAGCTTTGGCTCTGAGCGCAGGCCGAGTGTAGGCTCGAGCGTGTACGAAAAGCCTGTGGCTGAGCCCGTTCCAAACTATGCAACCTCGACCAAAGGCCCCAGCAAGTTGGAGAGAATCACCCGCGAGTTCAAGCGCATGCGCGTCAAGCCTCGCCCTGAAGTCGAAGAGATTACTCGCATCAAGGAACAAAGTGCTGCCGACTACGTACCTCAAACCGGCGAGAATGCCGGCAAGAAATCACTTAAAAAGGCACGGTCGCTGGCAAGCCTCAGATTCGGCAACGGCAGCTCCGCCTCACTTTCGAGCCGAAAGGGCAGCGATGCTATGCCCTTTGACGCAGAAGAGATGAAGAAGCACCGCTTGATGTACGAGGCCTCAGTCAGCAAGAAGACCAATGGCCAAAACTAGGCGGTCCATGGATCGCCCACGACTCCATTACGAATTCACGACGAGATCGTCCGGTCACAGACCAAGGTCACATGTCAAGGGTTCCAAGAGTGCTCCGGCTGTACCTTTCCCGGACCGAAGCCTGTACGCTGTCCATCAGGTGCAAGGAGGGACCCAGTCTCCACGGAACAGCATACTGGATGTGTACCGTTTCTTTTATTGATTACATATTGTTTAGTCACTTTTCTTCTACTTGTTTTTTCTTTCCTTCTGTTTCTCTTTCACGAGGCATGGGGGAAAATATGCCGAGGTCCTGGCTGCGGCCACGACCGCGTTGCCTCTGGGTTTAGCGGGCGTTATCATGAGAAGCATCAACCTTTGCGGGTCAAAATATTTTCTTTCTCCTTTCGTGTTAGTACGTTAGGACTTATGTGGTCTATGACGGATAAAGCATGGTGTTCAGGAACAGGGTGCATGGTAATGGCGCTGTAGCATATATTTGTTTTGGGGGGTGGCTATATTGCTTCTCGCGGGCTGTACAATACATTTACATCAACGTAGGCGTAAACCTGATGCAATGGCGGGCATACTTCAAAACATGGCAAGGGCGTAGTGTAACGCTGCTATCGAGTCGAAAGTGCTCGAGTAATGAAAAGATATCTACCAGAGTCAAAGAGGCCCACGCGCATACCGTTTTGTGTCTAGTCGTCATGGCGATCCTACGGGTGACTTCCTAATGCATGCAGCCTCGCAGTTTTAAGCCGAGCGAGCATGGGTTGGCGTCGGAACTGCATGGCTCTTTGGAGCACAAAGTTTGTTTTGCAGGATTCGCGTCAAAGCCGACTCAGAACCCTGGCAAATGGCGAGCTTGTTTTTTTTCTTCTTCGTCACGCAGTCAATAGAACGGATGGAGGCCGTATGCATGTGCTGCTCCAGACAAGCAAGTAACCCTCCGCCGACCCGCTACGCCTTACCGCTTGCAGGCGCCCTCTCAGAGGTCCAGGCCGTTGCAGCACCATGTGCTATGGACTGACTTGTTGTCTATCGCCCTTCTCCACACGCGTTTGACGACCCTTACGCGAGGCGCAGCAACACCCGATATGACCGTTGACGACCCGAGTAATACCCCGGCTCCCTTCTCGTACGATGCCGGTGATGCTGGGGGTCGATCGCGCCTAGCTGTCCCGTCCGGACAAGTGGCGTACGCATCACAACCATCCGCCCCGCCAGACGTGCCTTTTTTGATCCCTGGAACAGTTCCAGCACTGGTCATCAGCGTGCTGAAAATCGGCTGTCCGGCTCGACATCATGGCGCGCGTCACGTAACCTCAAGCTGGGGGAGCAATTCAAGGGTGGTCGGCACGGCGGCAAGAGGATCGCAGACACGGTCGGCGCAGGCAGCGACGACTCCGCCAACGTCGGTCTCCACAGCCTCAGGACCGGTGGACAAAAGAGTCTTGCCGAAGTCTGGGCCGCAGGCAAGTCGTGGAAACAGGCTTCCGAAAACAAGGGTAATATATACACTTTGTCTTGTTACCGATATACTATGTACCTAAGTTCTAATATGCACCCAGAGTCAGAGTTTGAACCAGATACATACTCCGAGAGCAACGTTTGTGAAGATACTTCGGTACCTCCGGAAAAACAGTTGTTCGCGGGCCTCTGCTTCTATCTCAATGGCTCGACTGCTCCCCTTGTCTCAGATCACAAGTTGAAGCAAATACTCGCCACACACGGCGCCACACACTCTATCACCTTGGGCCGACGGACAGTCACACATGTGATTCTCGGCACGGTAAACGAAAGAGGAGGAGCAGGCGGTGGTTTTGCTGCAACCAAGCTTCAAAAAGAGATTGTCAAGATTGGTGGCAAGACCGTCAAGTTCATCAATGCCGACTGGTAGGATATGCAGCTCCTCCATGCAGCCACAGCTTAATTGTGTTGCTCGCCACGTGCTATGATATGTCGTGCTGATAATATGCAGGGTACTCGACAGCATCAAAGCCAATCGACGTCTACCCGAATCACGGTATTCACCACTAAAGTTTGTGACAAAGTCCCAGAGCACCATCTTCAGCACGATGGGCACCATGACCACCCCAAAGCCAAAAAATAAACAAATCTCAGGATAAGCCACGGCTGCGCAATGTGAATCTGCCGTTTTTTTAATACCGCATTTTTACAAAATCAGATCACATGTCACGTGACAGTCATTGTATTACAGGGTCCCTCCAACTAAACACACACACAAAACTTTATCGCCTATAAACTTTCAACGTTACTTCAGCATGCGCAATCCGCTGGACCCTTTTGCGCCTTTCAAGCCACATACACACAGGAAATGGCCCTACGCAAGGGAGGCGGGGGAACCGGGCACAAACAACCGTTCGTTGCAAGCCGTTCTAGCCGTTTACTACCCTGAAAGTTGACGCTCAGCTTTCTCGCCTCCCCTTACCTCAAGGCAACAAAAAAACGTCCCATTTCGCGCATATGCATATCACGAACGTCTGTTTCTCCATAGGGGTCCCCGTCCCCCTCCCTCGCTTGCCTCTCTCAGCTGCGGTTTACCCGCTTGGAAACTTTGAACCCTTGCCACACACGGCATACTCGGCATACCTCACGGCAAGCCCACGCAAAAAATCGCCCATTTTTTACATAGATAGACTCTTCGTGTTTTTCTTCGTCTCGTGTACTAAGATCTAGACCCTTGTGCCTATCACTTCGTTTTCTTCCCTTTGCCCCGACCCAATCGACTGGACGGCAGAAGAGGGGGTGTAGGCGATACGACTACTGAATAAACCTTCCGAACATGGTATTCTCTGCATACCCTTTACACGCACGTAGCGTGAATACAACGTAGGTTGGTGCAAAGTAAACACTGACACACACGCATTACATTCCTCACTTGGAAATCGATCTTCACCCCCTCCCCCTCCCCCCCTCTCTCTCGCTCTGTCTGCCCTTTCCACCCCCCACGCTAAAATGTCTAGTTTGGACGATCTCACGAAACTATAATCTACTTTTCCTTCCGCAATCTTAAACTTTCACTGACAACTTATCCGAGCGTTGGTTTTTTTTCCTCTCTGGCCCTTTAGAACATGCGTTCGCTTTTCTTCCGCTTTAACCCATTTTTTTGTTACCTCCTCGTATCCGCTGTATGAATATATTATATATGTATGTGTGTACCTCGATACGGTGGCGCGTAGGCGCTTCTCCTAGAGCGATGGTCTTTCTGCTATGCGGGGCGGTTTTTTTAAAGAAAAAATACCCGAGACGAGACGAGAAGAGTTTACATTTCACTTTTTGATAGGCTGCTGTTTGCGTTGCTAAGGGGGATGAACTTGACGTTTGTTTGATGCTGGAGTATGCCTCTTGGAAATGTACCGAAGTTTTTTTCCTTTCAAGCATAAGGTTAAACGAAGACCAAAACAAATGATAGCTTTGTTTTTTTCTTCTTCGTTGTTTATATCCCTTTCTTGCTTTTTGGGTGGTTACCAGAGGGCGTGTGTACCTGCCGCACTTCCGTCGTCATTATTTCCTAGTGAAAAAAAAAATCTCTTAGACGCCATTTTGTTCGCGTTTGGCGCTGGCTGGGCTTAGCTGGGGCTGATTCTAATGGTCTGACCTACTTTAGCTAGTCTAGTTGATACCCTTTTTTGTGAGCTTGATTGGCTTTAGTTGGGCTGGTGGTTTTTTTTAGTTTCTCTCTATCTCTCTTTTTCAACTGATTGGGCTTAGCTGGCTAAGCTCGTGGCACCCAAAGTTTAATTCCTAGCAAGGCAAGAAAACGCGAGGGAGGTTCTGGCTCTGGCTCTCTCTCTCTCTGTGTCTCTGTCTCTGTCTCGGGCGAGTGAGCGCGCTTTTCCTATTTTGGGGGTGTGTTTCGAGGGTACAGCTTTGGTACCGTGGTTACAGCCAGCAACTTTCCCCCACACATTCCCCGGGATTCCCGCAACTGGTTGGGATATGTACTCCGCGGGGAGGAAAGTGTCAGGTGGTGGGCTGGAGGCTTTTCTGGTTGGCTGATCTGGTTTGGTTTGGGAATGTTTAGTGCCTGCATGCTGCTGCCCAGGGAGTGCGAAGGGATGGGGTGATGTTGACTCGGGATTGAAGATGTATTGCAAATATTCGGGATAGAAGTGTGGATGATTTCAGTTTGGCTGTTTGCTTTTTCTTCTGACTTGTGGCTTGAGGCTTCGGACGCTCCGGGAATATGATATCCGAACTTTCTCGCCTTTCTCCGATACGTGTAGTAAGCTTGCATTCCTTTGTATGTAACCTAGTGACTCCATTTTCCCTCGGCCTTTGTTACAGGTAAGTCTAGCACTTGAGTATAGTCGGAAATTATAGTCGTGATTCTTTCTTTGCATAACATCGTCTGTGAGGAAGAAAAAAAATACCCGCTAGAAAGTAGTGTTTTCGCATGTCCTTATCGCACAGTTTGGCCTAGTAATTACTTTACAGAGAAATAAAAGAAATACACAGCTGAAGTGAAACAGCATATATGCACGTATCGATTACGGGATGTACACGTACTTGAGCCGTCTTTTTTTGTCCCATGTGCGGGCGAATACTAGATGCTGTGGTACGTGGGATGGGTCCAATGTCGTGATGATGATGGATGTAGGGAAAGGAGAGGTGGAGCATATAGAATATTTATTCACGTAAGGAACATAGACAAGATTACCGAGTTATCTTTTAGCGGCATTGATAATGTCTGTATATTAGACCTGCAACTATCTTTGGTACAGTTCTACAGAAAATTAAGATATATTGTATATTTTATGGAAAAGAACATATGCCACGTAACATGGCAAACATTGCATCGTGCAGATCGAAGTCGACTACGAGCATTTCATGTGCATACATCTGATACAAACGCCACTGCCTATCGGTATCACAATCCCATAAACGCCCTTTTTCCTTGCCTCAAATATCGGCATGTGCTTGTAGATCCCAAACCAACTCATTAACCAGCAGTCCTCGGCTTGGACTTCGCCTCCTTCTTCGCCTTTGCAGTCTCCTTTTGCTTCTTCTTCTTGAGCTCAAGTTTTTCGTCGGCTTTGCGCTTTAGGGTAGCCTTTTCCTCGGCGGTCTTCTCAATCGGCTTGAAGAAACCCTCCAGCCTACTTTGCTGTGCCGTCTTCATGTTTTTTTGCAGCTTGGCCGCTCCATTTCGTACTCTGTCCTCGTTGAAATGTTTCTCTTCTACCAAAAACTTGACCAGTCCCTCTATATCTGGTGCTTCCCACTTGAAGTCACATTCTGGAGCGTCGGCAGGTAGTACGTCGGGCTCGAGGAAGAGAAGTCGTGCATCGGCAAACGGCCAGTCGTCGGGAATGGTGAGTTTCTTGGAAGATTGTGATTTGATGTGCTCGACTACACCCTCGAGATCCTTGTGCTCGCGGATGAGCTTGAGAGCAGTGCTGGGACCGATGCCCTTGATGGGGTCGAGGTAATCGCAGCCAAGGAGGATACACAAGTCGATGAACTGGAGGCTGTGAGTATAAAACCATATGATACAATGTAATCTGTCGTACCTGTTTCTGGTCCATTTCCAGACCCTCAAGTACCTTGTCTAGATGTATTTCTAGAATGGGCTCCTTGCGCTGCTCGCTAAAGGTCAAGTGTCGTAGCAGAATTGGCGATGCAAAAGTCAATGTATCCATATCCTCTGATGCAGCAGCATACACCTTTCCTCCCTTAGCCAGCGCAGCACATTGGGCCTCAGCCTCAGTTGGTGCAACAATATACGGGATGCCCATGAGCTTGAGCAACCGTTGACACTCCGCATTGTGTTCTTTTGTCACCCTGACCGTTCGTCGTGAAAACTTCTCGACATCTTCAGCCGTGCCCGTCTCCTTTGCTTCCTCTGCTGCAGCCTGTGCTTCAGTCTTGCGCTGGAATCGCTTTGCAAGCTCGCCGGATTTGAGCTTAGGTGGAGCACCGTCAAAGACGTAAAGGGGTTTGATGCCATTGTCGACCATGCGCATTGTGCGGTAGAACAGACCCATGAGATGTGATGTGGTCTCGCCCGTTTCGTTCATGAGTTGCTGGCCATCGGAGCGGACTGCGATGAGAAAACTGTAGATGCTCATAGATCTACACAATGTCAGGCTGGGTCAGTCATGGTATGTTTGCATCGACGTACGCATCCTGGCCAAGTCAGTGACTGATACGATGCAAAATAGTTATCTTGGACATACTATAGCGACCTTGCGACCAAACTGGTTCTTGATCTCGCCTTTCTTGACTGCCTCTGGTGTATGCTCATCGATGAGCTGGTAGAGGTGCTTAATACCCATTGCGGTCGATTGTAGTATGTATTCTGTTGGGTCTTTCGGTTTTGTGGTGTTCAACCGGCGATGTTGAGTGTGAAAGCGTAGACAATTGCGCGGAGGCTGGAAGGTGACGCAGACGATCGTCACGTCGCGTCCGCGTCCTATGGCGCGCAATCACGGTGAGCATTGCTTGGCGTGATTACCCCACATATTGCTTGTAATCGCTTATGGAGGCCTCGCAAACTGCGTGTGGCACATGGGTATTCTGCACGACATTTGAAACATTAGCAGGAACCTGGACAATCCAGTGCCCACATGCTTGACGAGATGATGCGTGGTCTCTTGCCACTGCGGAGTGCTTCCGAACCGCGGTTATGGGGTTTCCGAGGCGGATCTAAGCCGACGACGGATAACTTCTCCTCTCCGGGTATAACAATTCCTTTTTCTTTCTAGGTTCTTACCCGACTGTCATACATCGTCCCAAAATGCTGCGCCCAGTATATAGACATGCTTCCAGGCAACTGCGCACCCCGGCCCCGATTGCGGCTATCAGGAAGCGAAATCTACATGCTCCCGTGGCCTTTGACTGGCAGGATCCACTCAAGGCGAACGACCTATTGACCGAAGAGGAGCAAGCCATTTCCGAGACTGCAGAGTCGTATTGCCAGGAGCGCATGCTCCCAAGAGTGCTAGGTACATGAGATGCTCAGCTCACCTCTACACTTGGCTAATATTCTCTTTAGAGGCATACCGCAATGAGGACTTTGACAGGAAAATCATTCAAGAGATGGGAGAGCTTGGCCTGCTTGGTGCAACCATCAAAGGCTATGAGTGTGCCGGCGTCAGCAGTGTGGCCGGTGGTCTGATCACCAGAGCAGTCGAAAGGGTTGACTCAGGGTATCGTTCGGGTTACTCTGTCCAGAGCTCGCTTGCTATGGGTGGTATTGAAGAGTTTGGGTCTGAAGAACTCAAAGAGCGCCTTCTACCAAAGATGGCAAAGGGTCAATTGCTGGGTTGCTTTGGTCTTACCGAGCCTAATCACGGATCAGACCCTGGGTCTATGGAGACGGTTGCAAAGGAGCATCCATCAAAGAAGGGCTACTACTCGCTATCTGGTTCAAAGACGTGGATTACGAACTCGCCTATTGCCGATGTCTTGCTCGTGTGGGCAAAACTGGAAAGCACAGGCAAGATCCGGGGTTTTGTCATTGAGCGGGACCAGTGTCCACCGGGTACTCTCGAAACCCCGCCAATCAAGAACAAGAACGGACTGCGAGCATCCATCACTGGCATGATCCAGCTTGATGAATGCCCAGTTCCCGAGGCAAACATGTTTCCAGAGGTAGAAGGGCTGAAAGGGCCCTTTAGCTGCCTAAACTCGGCAAGATATGGTATCGCGTGGGGTACTATGGGTGCCTTGGAAGACTGCATCGCTAGAGCACGCACATATGCACTAGAGAGGAAGCAGTTCAAGAACAACCCAATTGCCAAGTACCAGCTTGTGCAGAAGAAGCTAGCTGATGCTACGACCGATGCTGCGTACGGAATTCTCGCGGCTCATCAGGTTGGACGACTCAAGGACGAGGGCAAGGCTGCACCCGAGATGATTTCCATGATTAAGAGACAGAACTGCGATCGTGCCTTGGTCAACGCTCGGACGTAAGTTACAACAAGCGTGTGCACAGCACAAGTTGACCATGACTAGGCTACAGGAGATTTTTGGCGGAAACGCAGTCTCAGACGAATACGGCATCGGACGGCACGTTGCCAATCTGTTCGTGACGCAGACGTATGAAGGACAGAGCGATATCCACTGTGAGTGTCCATGATGAAGCTGCTGGGATATTGGCTGACATTGCATAGCGTTGATCCTAGGTCGAGCAATCACCGGCCTGCAGGCGTTCTGTTGATTAGGGTAACTGATTGTAAAGCATCATGCTTGGCTTGCTTTGACGTTGCTGCACGACCAGAATATTTACTCAAAAATATCATCCAACTACATGTAGCATAGCGTATAGGAAAACGGTGTTTGTTTGGAGATATGTAGTAGAAGTAGTAGGTAGACGCATGTCAAACCCTGAGGCGACGGACGCTCGCCTCGAACGCAGCAAGTATCATGTCCTGACTCCTCGTGGCCACAGCGCAAGTCGCCACTACGACGACCGTTTGACGAGTGAGTGATGTTATTGGATCGTGGTGGGTGAGTGAAGGGGAAGAGCCGTAAATGTCAGCCGTGATGCATCTTCTGCAGCCTTCGATAGGTTGCCACCCAAAAGTGGCTTCTGCGCAGTCATGGCTCGGTGAATTTTGTGGGCAGTGACAGTTGGGCGGCTGGGCTTGTCTCGCCTCCTGCGGTTGGTCCCGACACATGATAAATGCAACCGCCCCTGCTCAGCCCAGTCACACTTCCTCCACACTCATCTTTGCCATTTGTCTTTTACTTGTATACGTGAAAAGGCACAGGTACGTCAAGTTGCGTGGCGGAGGCGCGCTGCGCCGCTGAGACGCCGCACTTGCTTTCTTTGGACCCCCCGCTAACTAACCGCCTTGTCTGTGCAGACATCCCACTTCAACTCTTCAACACCACCGACTCTCTTTACCGCAACTACCGCGATACCGCTCGACTTACCCATACCACCCACACCGCCCACACACAGTAGCCATGGCTCTCAAGCGCATCAACAAGGAGCTCACAGATCTCGGTCGGTGCGTGGCATAGCCGCCCTTTCCCCCTCCTGGCACGAGGCTCGCACTTGGGCTCGCATGACGGCCGCCGGATTGCGGAGTGCTATAGCAGACAAGACGCAGCCTGCGTAGCCTCACAGCCTTGCATCCCCACAGTCTGGCACAAATACGGTTGAGACGTTTGGCTAACATGGCACTCGTAGTGACCCTCCCTCTTCCTGTTCAGCTGGTCCTATCGGAGATGATCTGGTACGTCACTCTTTGCACACAACGCCTGTGCAAGGCGCCCCTGCCAACACGGCCGTGGGCAAGCAAACTGCGCTGGACACTGATATGCTGACTATCACTGCAGTTTCACTGGCAAGCAACCATTATGGGTCCTGTACGTCCGCCCCTGGGTTCTGCCACTTCCTAAGGCCTTTTTAGCCCGGCACGCCATCCCCTAGCACATGCAGCAACTAACAAACGCAGGGTGACTCACCATATTCTGGCGGAGTCTTCTTCCTAGCGATCCATTTCCCAACCGACTACCCCTTCAAGCCCCCGAAGGTCAACTTCACCACCCGCATCTACCACCCCAACATCAACTCCAACGGCAGCATCTGTTTGGACATTCTGAGAGACCAGTGGAGCCCTGCTCTGACCATCTCAAAGGGTATGTTTTTGGAAGGATGATGGCGTTTTGGACGAGGCCATTGCTGACAGATTTGCCTAGTGCTGTTGAGTATCTGCTCGATGTTGACAGACCCGAACCCTGACGACCCGCTTGTTCCCGAGATTGCACATGTGTACAAGACTGACCGGTCTCGCTACGAATCGACGGCACGCGAGTGGACTAGGAAGTATGCCATCTAGAGAGAGAGGAGAGTAGAGAGTAGAGTAGGAAGGGGAAGCAGGAAAGCATCTTTCTGTCAGGATCTGCTATGGGATACAACGAGTGTGAGGAAGGATGATCATCAAGAACACATGCCTTTTACGGCATGGTGATTGAGGGGAGTTTTCTGTTCTACGACATGCATGCTGGATGGGTTTCATAGTACTTGCTATCAAGACGCTTAGCAGAACAGGTGCATTTCTCTTTTTGCTACATATGAGTGTTTTCTTTTGGTGTGACACGGGCAATGCTAACAGTGCATGATGGGTTGTTTGATGAAAGAATAATAAAAGGCAATAGTATTGCTAAATGGCAGGAATCTATTGCTCTTTCTGGAAAGGCTTTGCAGACTGAACACTATCTATGCTGTCCTGAGGAGAGGCCATGTTTTTATAGTCAGACTCGGGCTTTTTGTCAGCGTCTCTGATTGCCTTTGCCATTGCAGCCAGAGACTTTTGTTCCTCGAGCTGCAGGCGCCTGCCGTACTCCTGCAGCTTCTCGCGGGGCTTGTAGTTGAGCATGTAGGAAGGGCCGACGAGCGGGCCGAGCAGGGATGGTCGCGTGTTCTTTTTGATGTCATCGACCAGCTGGCTATGCAGGTGGGCAAACGTTGCTTGGACATGCTTGATGGCTATGCCTTTCCGGCCGAGGTCGTTTGTGTCATCGGCCGGGTCGCGCAGGCAAAGCATGTATGCAGGTAGGGGTTTCATCGTTCCGTTCTAGTGGGCACGCACAATTGTCAGCAGGTCCGAAACCCGGATACCAGGGTATATAATGGCTGGGAGGGGGCTTCGTCTTACATCGAGTTTTTCCTTGACTGGCTTGGTGACGACGGGGTGTTGCGTCTTGTCGAATAACTCTACGGGGTCAATCGAGATGCCGTATTTCGTAGTGTCGAAGTCGCGGTAGAAACTGAGGAAATTGAGGAGCGCACCAGCTGCGTCTTGTCGTTCGTGGGGTGCATGCTTTATGCTGGCCACTAACATCATGAAGATGGAGTATGATCCGAAGCCACCCCGAAAGACGTCTGATAAGCCGCGGATGCTGAATATGGTCTTGACTACGTAGTATAGTTTGCGCAGGTAGGGGATCTCGTCCATGTACTGCTTCATCATGGCGGCGGATAGTGATGTGTCGTTGGACAAGACAATCTGGACGTCCAGGCCCGATTTGCAGTCCTGGGCGGAGATGAGGGGGTAGCGGGCGTGACGGAGAGTAGATAAGAAGTATGCCTTGTTGGTTTTAAAAGTACGGTGAAACAGGTTCAGAAGAACTTTGAGTCTTCTGGATTGCTCCTTCTTTGCGGGTGGTAGTCTGTCTATCTCAGGATCGGCGATCCACGACGGTTGCATAAGGCGAAAGTCAATGTCTGAGGTAGCAAAAGCCAAGCCATTACGTTCCGAGCCGAAGACTTGGATATCGTATTTTGATGAGGCGGCTTTTACGTGGTTGCGCACTTGCTGGATGACGTGCTGCCTGGCTATCCGCTCATAGTCTTTGGGCGTAACGTATTTGTAAAATCTCTCGATTTCCTTGTCTAGCCTGGAGGGTATTGTTAGAGGGTCGATTTAGCATTATAGGTTGAGGCTGCACCAACAAGTCCATGGCCGAGCTATCCCGCGCAGTCTTATCCAGACACCACGGCAACGAACTCTCTTTGATGGCTATTGTGCTGACCATGGGCTGGACAACAACACCCGTGTATTCCTTTGACTGTGCAAACGCCTCTCTTGCTGTAGCCAACAGCTTCTCGGACCCAGTAAGCGACTCTTCCTGGCGGGCGCTCTTTGCTGCTTTGTTCTTGGCAATTGATACTTGGGCCTTGTCTGGCAGCCAGCGTCCTTTGACTGTGGTCATCCTCCTTACGTGGGGTGCCGGCCCTGCGCTGGGCTTTTCTGTTGTTTGCTGCGCCTCGGTGTCCGACTGCTGAGCGCCATTGTCGTCTTGGGGATTTGCAACCACCTCACTGGTAGTTGCGCCGTTGTCGAGGACATGTTGCGTGGGTCCGGTCGCAGTCGAGGAAAAACGCTGTAGTAGGTGGGGACCGACAAAATGTTCCCACAGGACAATTGACGGGGTGAAGCGGTTATGGGCGCGGCATATCAGGCGTGCGCGCGAGTGCTGCATAGGGAGCCAGGCAGCGGGGGGAGGGGAGGGGGCAGCGGGCGACAGCAGGGGAAGGATGGCGGTAGGTGTGCAGTGGGTTGGGTGAATTGAAGGACGGTATGCACAACTGCTGACGGTGCTAGGGCGCTAGTCCTGTTTGGGGGCAACAGGCACTCCCGCGGCATCGAGTGTGGCTGCTGGGGCTGCTGGGACGGTTGTACTGGGGGGCCATGCTGGCCATTGCCGGCCCAACATTGGCTGCATCTGGCTGCGACATTTGCATCGCAAAGTCGCCAGAATAGCATCCACATAGTACTCCTACACCCACCCTAGTCGCAGCATCGTCCACGCCGCTCCACCGGCTGCACATGTCAAGGCCCACCTGCGCATTGCCATATGAAAATGGCCTGACATCATGTTGACCGGCCCAGCAAGCCTTTGCAGAGCGGTCAAGCTGGCGGCGCGCGTGTCCATGTCGAAGCTCGACCACGATGGGAATGCAGCAGCAGCCCAGCAGCCACTGTGTGCCCTGGTCCCCCGGCTCCAACGTCACAGCCGTGGTTGGTGGGGCATGAACCATCCCACCGCCAGCCAGCTTTTCTCCCCCCATTGCCCTCGTCGGGCTTCTGTGAGCTTCTCAACACCTCTGTCGCCTCTGTTGACTCCCTCTCCTCCCCCCAGAGCCTCTTGTTTGCCCTGCTGTGACTTGCACAATCTGCCCCGCGCCAGTGTCATCGTCCTTGGTACGTCCCCACCACCGCGCGCCTCCCTCTCTCCCTCCGCTATCTCTGCCCTACCACCACCACAGATAGCTACCAAAGTGAGGTTTTATGCCCTGCCGCGTGCTGAGTGTCGTCTGTCTCGTCAACCGTCTTCTCCCATCTGCCAATATCCCCATACAACCTCAAATCACCCAATCGCAATCCTTCTGGCCTTACCATCACCACTCGCAGCTTATCGATATCTAACCCTTTGATATAGTGCAACAGGTCCTCAGCCTACAATCGCCATGAGCGCCCCTACAGATACCGCAGATGGCAAGCCCGAGCGACCTCCAATCGCTTCCCAAGAAAGCACTCACCCCGCACTCCATCCCGACATCACCAGCGTACCCGTCACCCCCGGCGTCCACCTCTCTGGCAAGACGGCCTACTTTGACGAGTCCGCCGACAAGAAGGAGGACAGCAGCCTGCCCTTTGACCCGGAGACGGCCACGCCCGGGCCCTCGTGGAGCGCAAACTCATACTTCTCCAACCAGCAAAGAGCCGATGGTGCGGGGCCCCAGGTAGAGAAGGCGACAGGCGCGCAAACTGGGGAAGAAGTCAAGAGCAAGCTGGGTAATACCCCTGGCTCTGCCCCCAAACACAACCTGGCAGACGTGGATCCGCGTGCTGCGCATCCTGGCCTCAATCTCAGCGGCCGTGTCATCAGTGCGACTTTTGCCATACCCTACACCATCGGCTACTCTCCAGGTAACGACTGGGAGCTCAAACCACGACGAGGAACCTCTGCCCTTTTTGATTCATTCTCCTACCTTGCTTCCACCTCGTCGCCTTGGAACCACACCCTTGTCGGATGGACAGGAGAGATCTCGCATGCCACGTCGGCCGCCGCCACGGCTGCGCAGATACCCACAAACAAGGCTGCTGCGCCCATTCCCGTTGACCCCAAGAATCCGAACCAGGCAACCCAAGTCTCGAACGGCTTTCGAATCGGCCCCGATGACCGAGGGCGATTGGAAAAGCAGCTCGAGCGCGACCACGGCGGCAAGATTGTGCCAGTGTGGCTCGTTGACGAAGTAGACGATGGCAAGGATGAATACATTCTCAAGAGCCAAAGCCATTGGAGAACCTATGCTGAGCACGAGCTCTACACACTGTTCCATTACAAGCAGAACGAGCCAGCCGATGGGCGTGCAGCGCGGAAATCGTGGGCCGACTACTATCGCATGAACAGACTGTTTGCAGACCGAATCCTTGAAATCTACAGTCCAGGAGACATTGTCATGGTACACGACTTTTACCTCATGCTTCTGCCAAGTTTGCTCCGCCAACGTCTGCCAAACATCTACATTGGCTTCTATCTTCACATTCCTTTCCCCAGTAGCGAGTTCTACCGCTGTCTGAGTAGGCGCAAAGAGGTTCTCGAAGGTGTGCTAGGCGCCAATATGATTGGTTTCCAGTCGTACAGCTACGCACGACACTTCTCCTCTTGTTGCACTAGGATTCTAGGCTTTGACTCGTCGTCCGAGGGCGTCGACGCCTATGGCGCTCACGTAGCCGTAGACGTCTTTCCCATTGGCATCAATGCTGTTTCGACACAACGGCAGGCATTTGATGATCCGGAAATTGACGAAAAGGTCAAGGGAATTAGAGAAATGTATGCAGGCAAGAAGCTCATTGTCGGCCGTGACAGGCTGGATGCGGTCCGCGGAGTGGTGCAAAAGCTCCAGGCTTTCCAGCTCTTCTTGGAAAAGTACCCAGAGTGGCAGGGCAAAGTGGTTCTTATCCAGGTCACTAGTCCCAGCGGTCTCCACACGGACAAGAGTGACGGTGCGCAAGAAAAGGTCGTCAATAAGATTTCCGATTTGGCAGCCAAGATCAACGGCACATACGGCACTCTGGACTTTACGCCTGTTCGTCACTTCCCGCAGTACCTTTCTCGTGAGGAGTACTTTGCTCTGCTCCGAATTGCAGACATTGGTCTTATTACCAGTGTACGTGACGGTATGAACACGACAAGCATGGAGTACATCATCTGTCAAAAGGACAACCACGGTCCGCTCATCCTATCCGAATTCTCTGGAACGTCAAGCTCCCTCGGCAGCGCGAGCCACATCAATCCGTGGGACATGAGCGGAGTAGCCGATGCTATCAACAAAGCGCTCAAGCAGGACGAAGCAGAGCGTGCACAGACACACGCACAACTTTACAAGCACGTTGTAGAGAACAATGTTCAGGCGTGGACCAATAACTACTTGAAGAAACTGATGACGAACCTATCGTCGTTTGACCAGACTTTTGCTACCCCAGCGCTAGATCGGGCTAAGCTTCTGTTCCAGTACCGGCAGGCAAAGAAGCGACTATTCATGTTCGACTACGATGGCACTCTGACCCCCATTGTCAAGGACCCACAAGCAGCTATCCCATCTGACCGCGTCATCCGAACTCTGAAGACGCTGGCAGCCGACCCTACCAATGCTGTCTGGATCATCAGTGGCAGAGACCAGGCGTTCTTGGACGAGTGGATGGGCCACATTCCCGAGCTTGGTCTCAGTGCTGAGCACGGTAGCTTCATGCGCCCTCCACGGTGTCAGGAGTGGGAGAACCTAGCCGAGACGACGGATATGACTTGGCAAACAGAGGTGCTCGACATTTTCCAGCACTACACGGAGAGAACACAGGGTAAGGTCGCTTTCGGGCATGATGAGACCATGTTTTATTGACCGAGTGGACAGGTTCATTTGTGGAGCGCAAGAAGATTGCACTGACCTGGCACTATCGCCGGGCCGACCCCGAGTACGGTGCATTCCAGGCACGTGAATGCCAGAAGCATCTGGAGAGGACCGTGGCCAAGAAGTACGAGGTCGAGGTGATGACGGGCAAAGCTAACCTCGAGGTTCGTCCAAGATTTGTCAACAAGGGAGAGATTGCCAAGAGGCTCGTCGAGGAGTATGGTGAAGGACCCGGGAAAGCGCCCGAGTTTGTTCTCTGCATGGGCGATGATTTCACAGATGAAGGTTTGTCTTGTGCCCCTAATGGGATTGCTCATTTGCTGACCACGGTGGCAGACATGTTCCGATCGCTGCGCCAGTCGAAGCTGCCCACGGATCATGTGTTTTCAGTGACTGTTGGAGCGAGTTCGAAGCAGACTCTGGCGAGCTGGCATCTTGTTGAGCCGTCTGATGTGATTTCAGTCATTTCGCTGCTTAATGGCTCAGCGGATGCAGGCAATGTTGGGGCGGTGGCGATTGTGGATGGGTCGGTGCCCGAGTCGCGTGTGGTGCCTTAGGGATGCTGTGCGTAATAGGGGGGTCGTTGGCATTTTGTGGTGGAGCACGGAGCATGGCAGAAGATTAGACGTATATAAGAAATTTACAGCATGATGGTTGCGTGGCGTCTGGCTATGGCGCGCAGTAACAGCGAGGACAGCCGCAGTGAGTCAAGAGGCGCATGTTGTGTGTGTGTTGGCTTGACCGACGAGTCTCTGGTTCGGGTGAAGAGGTTGCAGGCTGGACAAGGATGCGATGCCGTTGGGAGAGGCGACGAAGCGAGCCCCTTGGGACGAGCGTCGCCACTGGAGCCAAGCGGGTGGGTGGCGCCATCGGCTGTGTCTGTGTCTGGAACTCCTCCCCCCAGTCCTCCTCCACGTGAAGGGGCCTGACTCGGCAGCCACCAACCAACCCTCTGTCCGGCCATGCGGGTGATGATCGTCCACTTATCCTTTCGTCCCGAAGCATTGCGCAACAACTCATGTTCGCAGCCTGTCTCCTACTCCCTCTGCCGTGTCACGCAGGAACCATCGCTTGCCATGGCGAAAAAGACGGGCGCTGCAACACGGCCTCTCGGCCACAGCGGCCCACGACTCACTAAGCTTCGACATCGGAACTCCTTCTGCTATAGGCTTGGTCGGTCTGCGTCTTTCGGCTTCACTAGCCCGTATTCATCACACTTGGCCTTCGAGAACCGGCATTGCATGAAACCTGGAACGCCTAGTCCTCCTCCCGTGCCCCAACAACGGCACCTGAGCACTTGCGTCCGTTGCCAGCCATTTCTCTCTCTTAAACCATATCGCCGGCCCTACCGCGCCCCGGATTTCGTTTGCTCGCTCTTCCACTTGACGCAATCCCACCCATTTTTTTTCCGGCAAATACACCCACCGGAAGTGCACCGTCGAAGCCACAAACTGATTCGTCACCATCTTCCTACATACCCACATCACTCTGATACACCACCTGCATCATCCAAACAGGGACGCGGTCGTCAAGTGGGTTCCGACATCTTATCCGTGCCACGTTTTGCACTACATCTTGCTCCTTGGTATTCCTCGACTTCACACACGCACAACACTTCTCGGCGCAACTACCGTAAGCCACGATAAACTCTACACAAAACTTCAACATGGGTATCTTCGAGAAACTTCAAGCTCGTATGTCTCGCCTCAACTCGTTTTGCTTCACATGGACCCCGTTTTTGTCGTGAAGCGTCTTATCAGCATTGAAATGACTAACACCCGCGTCCAGGCCTTGAGTTGCACCGCCTTGAACAGCGCTACACGCGCCGCGAGAAGCGCACTACCTTCATCAGCGAGGCCCAATATGTAGACGGCGAATACGTTTATGCTTCGTCGCCTTCTTCCGCGAAGTCGTCAAGCACCGTCAATAGTAAACGTTTCAGCGTCATGCCTTCCATAAGGATAAAGGAAATTGGTCGCAATGGCACCGGACGATCTTAAACAGCTTGTATGCGCAGTGCGCTACATCGTTATTAATACATGGACGGCAACATCGCGGCATTTTGGTCGTCCAAAAAAAACTTTACTACGCTGTAGTGCTCGGGGAAAGATGCTGTACAACGTTCTACAAAGTTGTGTGCTCTTGCTGTACAAAAGGCTAAAGCTCATGCGTGTTGGACCCTTAGGGGTCTTGCAACACATGCAGGGAAAACTTAACAAACCAAACTCACCCGAAACCACAGAGAAAAAACACAATAATTCAACTCGACACGCAACGACATTTAACGGCAGAATATATCAACCATCGACGAACCGGACGAAGAGCGAGAGACCAGATGAGCGCGCGGTTTTCCACATTACAACAAAAGAGGCTGGTCCACTTGACGTCGATAACGCTTCACTCTTTTGAATCACCCCCATCATTTTTCTTTTTTACCATTTTCTTCGACTTGTACCTATCCAACCGACCTCTGTTCACATCTTTTCCCTTCTTTCTTTTTCTTCGTCTTTTCTTTTCTTTGTGTTCAAATAAACCACCTTTTGCAAGCTTAGCCTTCTACTTTGCTTAGCTATCTGAGGAGTGACACGGGAAAAGGGAAAAGTATCCTTGTTTTCCGCTCTTTGTTCTTCTTTTTTTGTTTCTCGGGCTGATGACCTTTTCGTTCACTCTCGATTTAGGGGAGAAGAAAAGTGTTTCGCCATATGATGAGTAACTGTTGCGTTCAGGTGGAAGTTGGGGGTTCCTCGGCTTGGCATGTTTACTTTTGAGGAACCCTGATGATGCAGTCTACCTAACTTCTTACTTTTTTTCCTGAGAAAAATTAAATTCATATATTAAAATTTCCGGTGTGGAATGTGTGTGTGATGCGAACTTGCTTTTTCTCGTGTATTGGCTTACTCGCACAGTGTATATCGCCTTTTTCCTTAGCCTGGACAATATCTAATTTTAGCGGCCTTTTGCTTGGTGGTAATTATAAGTACAGTGCTAAGATTTGCCATGTTCTTTGCTTTTTGTTTATGGGGGAGTACGCGGAAATCCCTTGCATAGCGGTAATGGGACGGGAAAAAGGACGGAAGGGGAACGACCTCTTTTTCTTACCTCCCCCCCCCCTTTACTCTGGCAACCAAGGGAATGAAGAAACAAGGTGTAGAGTACTTCCACTGGAGCAATGTATGAACAATTATCCCGTAGACACAAGTATACAGGTAAACACTTCTCAGCCCAACTAGACACACTATCCCATCCCTCTCACAAAGCCTCTAGCACCTGACATCCCCTCTGCCTACTACATCGAGTCTATAAGCTACTCCCAACCACGCGTTGTAAACTCTCCAGACATATGCACGAACGACACGATACAACAGCTTCTCCCCCTCATCACAAGTCACATGTATCAATCCCCATCACACATACACGTATACAGTCGCTGTTCCATAAAAGTCCCATCCACGCAACCTGTCCAAAAAAAACGTACAAGTGATGAACACAGCAACACATTTACCAACTGTGAAGATCCCTCAACAATGCAACGGAAGTTAACAAAAGGGAGGGTTAGTAAGTCTGCGTACTACACACTTTCCTTCACACACTGGTATATACTAGATTGCAGAAAGTAAACTGCATGCACACGCACATCCTTTCTCTTTTTCTCTTTTTTTTTTCTTCTCTCCCCGCTTCCCCTCTCCTCTCTTTTTTTCTTTGCTATCTCTAACCCGCATCTTTCCCACTTGTTGCATATGCATCCCTCTCTTTTTCCTGCCCACCCGCCCGCTCACACTTATCTACTCAACCCCCCCCCCCACCTCAACCGCCTCTAACGGTACAATCCAATGCACCTACACACGCGGCCCCCATCCTGCGAGAAAAAGGGAAAAGATACACATGTTGCATTTGCGCTTGCTATGCACATGCAAGTGTATGTGGGGAGGGGGGATTTGCAAATCGGTGTGTGATTAGTGTTGAGGGGTTTGTGGAGGAGATAAGGGAGAAAGCTTGGGAGAAGGAGAAAAGACGAGCAGCGAGAATGGGAGAGGGAAGAGCGGGGGGGGGGGGGTATCGTAAGATGGATAGAGGAACGATGTGCACAAATAGGGGTCTGTAAACTATAGGATTGTGGTGCGGGGAGGAAGGCGGAGGAAGGCGGGAAGGTGGCAAAGCCAAGAAAAAACGGGAGAAAAAAGCAATGTTGAACCGGTAAACACATACACAAAAAAAGCAAATATTTGGTCCAGGTTAGTTAGTAGTCGCATAAACCACCAAAACATACATGTACGTCTTAGAAAAGACCACACATTATTGGAAGAAAAACATGAAGAACTAATACAATATATTTGCCACGTAAACACTATATAAAAGTACTATCCTCAACAAACAATTGAAAAAAAAAGAAAGGGGGTATCTTTCGATCTATACGATAACTTTGTGCTTTGCTTTACTTTGCTTTGACAACAACAACAAAAAAAGCGGGCCGTGTGCGAAATAGAAACCCAAAAAAGGGAAGGCGGGGGGTGTGGCGGAGGGGGAATATACGAACTGCAAACGAAGCAGTATGTGATAATAATAAAAAAACATGTCTAGATCCTTTTGCATACTTACCTCATTTTTGGAAGACAACGAATGTCAAACCGTCCAAGTGGACTTTACCGCCGGAAAACAAAACGCCCAAAATATGATGATGTATGAGCAAAAAAACAACCGCCTGGGGTGGAGGAGAAAAGAATATACACGGATTCCACCCCCTTTTGTGGCGTAGGGAGTCGTAATGAAGGTCGTTGGGAAAAAGCCAGATAGATATCCGCACCTGGCAGTATGCGCGCGATCGAGATGTAAAAAAAAGGGAGTCGAAAGGAAAAGTAGAGAGAGAGAGAGAGAGAGAGAGCGCAGTCTACGGACTATCGTAGTCGTTGAAAATCTCCTCTGGGTCCTCAGGTGGTAGCATATCAATCGTATCGCTGGTCCTGGGTCCTGTGTATTTCTTTCGCGCACCTGCATACCACCAGACGGTACTAAAGAAGCCAATGAATGCGGCGACGCAAATGGCGTAGTTCATATTGTCGACACGTAGCGGGCGGACGGTCGGGAAAAACAGGACGACGCTGATGAAGATGACCCATGTGACGGCGATGGCGTTGACGGGCTTGCTCCATTTGCCCATGGAGTACGGGCCTGGGTGGAAGACGACGCGGCCTTCATACCATCGGTGAGCAATGATGACGGCGATGTAGCTAATGTCGAGGGCGGGCGCGGTGATGTTGAAGATGGCGGTGATGGTTAGTGTGCTTCCGATACCGATGAGGTCAAGGCAGCTGCAGAAGACGACGACGAGCCAGACAGCGTTGACGGGCGTATGCGTATGCGTATTAACCTTGCTCCAGAAACTTCAAAGGGAAAAACAATGTAAGCGGTTTGGTTCGTTGCAAAGGGAGTCATAAAAAAGAACTTACTCTGAAAAAGGAAACGCAGCATCGCGGGCAAATGCCCAGGCCATGCGTGCATTAGCCAACATGGCCGAGCATCCGGTGAAGAACTGGACCAGCATGACAAAAAACCACATGAT